ATTATTCTCAAATAACTACGTTACAAGAGTCATGCCAGTTTATAGGCTTGATCAAATATTCACAAATGCTTTCACATATACAGTAAAAGTTACCGCAGTTAAATTAAGAATAAGAGTCAGTTTCTGGTTGCACATTTACACCATGTCACTGACAGAAACAGTATAATACAGCCACATTTTCAATAGGAGAGCACAAATAAGGAAGGTGCACAGCAGGCTTCTTCGGCTGTTTGCTGAGATCAATAGTGAACCATCATGTGGGGGTTTGCAGGTTGTTTTTCGATGTCTTCTGTGGCTTTGCTAAAGCTTATTTTCTGTCTCTGTGATTCTGCACTGTGAGCAGATATACTAGGACTGTAGAATATATTTTGAAGGCTTTGTTTTTGTAAAATCCCTCCAAGTATATATATTTGTGTTATGATATAACTGACTCTTCTGTTCGATATTTTGGTACTTTATTTGATTCCATTTGAGAATCTATCATTTGTATATTGTTATTATTTCTATATCTTGTAATTATATTGAAGTTTCCATGTTTCCTTCTGAATTATATATATGTTGTTTAAAATTGTTATTTAATATGGCTACAGCCATATTTGGATTTGATACTCTAGCAGTAATTGACTGGAAGCACATATTCTTTCAGTAACGGAACCTATTGTGGTAATTGGAAACTCGAAGGTGTAATATTGTTTTGGTAATTATCTGAATTTCCCCTTTTGATTGAATGCAGAACCGTTCTCTCCCAGAATTATCGCTTTTGGACTTGGACTAGGCGGGACGCGTATGAACCTACACCATTCGGGTTAAAAGCGGACTGCAAGAGCAACATAATTATTTTATAAGGACCAAGGACAGCGGTGACTCGGCATGAACCCGTAGTACTGTCTTGGTTCTGTAATGTCTCAGTGACAATGTTAAATGCAGAGGTTGTATTCGCATGTGGAGTCACTGAATCTGAATGATATCAAGCAGGCGATACCGCTCAATACTGAGTCTAACTACTAACGCGGACATGCATACCTCCACTGATTCTCCTAGTACGTATGTGTAAGTTTTGGTGGTAACCTTAAAACTGAACATGATACTTGAGAGATTTAAAGACGAAAACTGAGATAGCTGAAAGAGTACAAAATCCGAGATACGATTTTTGGAAGGAAGAAAATAATAATAATTATAGCTACGAAGGAATAAAACCTGTAAGTCATCCAGAATCGCATCTTAACCTTTGATCGACCTAGTAAGTAACTTCGCGTGGATCCAGTGAATTTACCACAAGTCATGTTTTTGAGGATGTATGAATATGTTTTCTCCGCCGAAGCAACAAGGAAGAGAGGAGTTAATGGAGACGTACAAACGGTGATCTGGTGATGACGCTTGACCAGGTGCCTTCAGCTTGTGTTTGTCCAGTAAAAATAATGAGGTCAGCATCGGCGTCGAAGACTTGTAGAAATATTTGTGGATTTATTCTTGTTACGCTGGTTATATCTTACCTATGTGAGTTCAGTTAATAATGATCATTGAGTATTTATAATGAATACGGATCAACTTCAGCCAGCTAAACACTTCAGTAATGAATTTTTCTACGGTAAATTTAATGGTTTAGTGTTACGATAAATGGTTAAAACGGTGAAAATATAAACAGAATGGAATAGTCGTTCATCATAAGCTTCTGTCTTGATTCACCATTGGATGAAAACTTTTCAAAACGAATAATCTCTTAGAAAATAAATAACATCAACTTTTTTGTTTTTCCAACAAAACTGGATAACCTCCGGTGAAATTCTGCCATGAGACTTGGACAGCAGAACGTCGGAGCTACCAGAGAAATGCTAAATATAGTCTAATACCTTCACACTCTCCTATGGTCAGTTATCAACAAACAAATAAATCAATCAATCAATAAATAGCATCGTAGAAGTTTGTACATACGTACATCAGTTCATTTTGCTGCACCACATTAGCACACAGATGAAATTTTTTAATTCAAATCCAATAGTAGTAGAGGTAGTAGAGGTTTTAACAGTAGTCGGAGAGGTTAGGATTAGAAGATATTATTCATTATGTGCAATCTAGTGAAATGGACTTAAAAAGATAAAGATTAAGTGGTGAAGAATTAAAAAGTTTAGGATTCGGGAGAACACAAAGAACAACTGCACCAGCGCCATTGCAAACGGTTTTGAACCATGTCATTCATAGTCTCTAACCGTTGGTCACTAACATCTCACGGACCTCAACCAGGTTGACTACATCTATCAACATGACTCAGTCCACTTGTCAGTGACTTCATAGATCAGTGGTACGTTTTGGTTTGGCAGCCCCTAGCTTTCTTCTAACCTGTTCCTACACTGCAAAATATAGCTTGATGACGCAGTCGGTGGTAAGGAATACACAGCACATGTCCCAACAATCCCAACTGATGGAGATCCAATATTTCATCTATTGATCTGCCACCCCGACCTAGAACTCGTTTCTTAATAACAGCGTTGCTCACTCGGGTGTCTCAGGATATACGAGCAATGCTTCGACGACACCTATGATTGAAAACCAGTAACCTACTCTGACTGACCATGATTCACAGCCATAAAGTAGGACGAAGCGAACGACTGCACAGTACACTCGTCCTTTAGTCAGCAAACGAATATCTCGCCTTCGGCGTTAGTGACGCAGGTTGGCAAAAACCAATCGAGTCTTCTGTCTCCGTGCTGAGATTTCGTCAGTCAGCAGGACATCAACAGTGATGAGACTCACAAGATAAGTGAAGCAGTCTACACGCTCGACTACTTCACTCCTTATCACTATTTCAGGTGCCGATGCAACCCAGTCTTGAAGCAACATTCTGCATTTCGAGGCTGAGAACCGCATCCCGAACATGCTTGCAATGTAGCTCAAGGTGGTCAACTGTCAGTTATAGGGTGACCTACCCACTGAATGCAGAATCACATTCCTTAAGGAAAGGTCTAAATCTGAGTGTTTAAGCACGTGCGTAATGTCAAGTCTACAGTGACTGACTCTAATTCAGTTTAAGTTAAGAGAAAAACGGACCGTAATATGAAAATCAAGTGGGAACCACGGTTATCTGATGTATAACAATGCTGCATAGCTATGTTCTTCCATAAATTAGGTTTGCTATCTGTCGAACTGATTAGGACTTCACATGAATAAAGCAAGATTAGTGTTTAAACCCTATATTTTTAATAATGGCTGCAATTTCTATGCCTTTAATTCAAAAACCTTGCGCCAAGCAAAAATAAATTGTGTTAATGGACAGGTCTACTTAATCTAACTGTAAAAAACTGCCATTTAGTGTTCATTCACAGTTTTTACAAACTGAGGCACTGATAGAAAGTCTTTCATCAGAAACTAAAGCATGAAAGGCTGTTTTCGAAAGTTTGCAGAGGAGTGCGTATCAACTAAGCAGTTGGTAAGACTGATTGAGTCGATAGTGAGCCATAGTCTATAAACACTGTAACTGTTTAACAAAATGAAATTGAAATATCGGAGGGAATAGTGATGAAAACGTACATGTACACAGCTGATAACACAATATAGCCTCATCGAATCTCAGTACACCCTTTTACTTGAGAATTATAGTCACTAAATTCAATCAGAGTTAAGATCAGAAGGTTTAGATTATTTCCAAATCATTAAATTCCTACACCACAACCTTTGGAAAAAATAACTTATTATACAGCAAACAGTGGTTTCTGTTAAATGTAAACCTACCGTTCAAGGTTTTTAGCATTATTGGTAGGAAATAATCCTTGGTTGCGTATTTTACACCTAAGGACTGTGGAGATAAAACCGATCAGCTGAATATCCTGTATTTAAACAGGGGAAAAGTAAGTCTTAAATAATTCTGCCAAGTTCAGAATCACAGAGTAGAAAGCTAGGGTTTGTGCCTCTTATGATTAACTTGACACTGTGATTCTTCTGGTATTTAAATCATAACAAACTTAGTGGAAAGGCTTGTTGAATTAGTTAAGGATTCTGCTTCCAGCATCTGACGTGAATTACGCTGGTATTATCACTTTTAAATTTTAGTCGCCCGGAGAATTTTGGAATTCCATTGTAACTTGTTGACAAACCTGGCTACCATCAATTAGTGAGGTTGTGTATATTGACAATGAAATCCAGGCATTTGGTTTTTACTGAATTTCAGCATCAAAGTTGTTATGAATGGTGATGTGACAAAATATAGGCATTCCCAGGCAAAACTGTCAAGAAAGCTCCAGAACTAGTCTGAAAGAATTGACGAAGGCCTGGTATTTTTTTATTCAGATGTGACTGATTTCGTGAAAATAACTGTCAGTCTAACATTCACGTACAGACCACAAAATCCTGTTTCCAGATGCAATGGGTAGTCTTAACTCCATGAAAATTAACAAAATAACTCTCTAATTTATATTTTAACAGACATATATTTCAAAGAAACAGGAGCATATCTATTCAAAAACTAAGTATTGAAAAAGAAGTGACTTGTTTGTTTAACTACTTAAATCTATCTTTCCTTGAGCGCAGTAAAAGGCTGTATATCAAATGGAGCGGTTCTCGAAGCTGGTGCTCCTCAACAGCCAACCTTCTAATTTGTTTCAAGATAACAATTTACGTGATCTATTCAATGATATTCGACTCCAGGAAAACTTACAATATTTTCAAGCAAGAGATATAATTGTGTGCGTTGGAAATGCTATAAGCCGCTGTCCAGATAATGCACTTCAGCAAAAAGACTTGTTACTTTCTATTTCTGGTATTTCGGTTTCAGATTGTTTATCATCTCAGATTTTCTTTATGACCGGTCATACGATTTCAAAGAAAGCTCACCAGAGACTCTTCTAAAGAGGGTTTTAGATGGAATCTTTGGGGTATTAGTTGATACTGATAAATAATTACCCATATTTTTTCTAGCCACTCGCTAAACTATCTAATTCAAGTAAATTTTTTGTGAATTTATTAGTTTTTAAGCCGCTTGTGATGTCATTAAAAGGTTTTTAATTCGTATGCTGGAACTGGTTTCGAACAATAGTTCTGATTTGGTTGGACGTTTCGACGTAAGTTTTACAACGTGATAAAATTTTCTACTTGTATGAAGTAAACGTATTCTTTCCAATGCGAACTTTGCACATATTTTCAGTTTAGTGAGCATATCTGCCATTTATCACTCTCTTAATCACTGTTTCGTTGTTTCGGATCATTGTGATAATAAATATCGGCACATCAATGGTCAATTACTGACTTGGTATTCTAGTGTTCTATGCGTCATCATATGCAGCTATTTGTCTCCTGAATTCTTACTACTGTGTGAAGCTGAAGCATACAAATCTCCCGGACTTATTCGACTGAGTTGTCATTTTTTTGCTTGTCGACTTCTGTCTAAAAGTTTGGGAAAATCTCATGTGTTATAAATGTCATTGAGCGTGTTAAGCTAATAATATTATGTGTGCTATCTTAAATAATGACATTTTTAATAAACGTAAGCACTAACTTATCATTAAGCTCATGCTTCCTACGGAGAACGTTAAAAATTACTATATAACTTATCTAAACATAAGGGTTTTTTAGGAATAATACTACATCAGCGGCTGTAATATTATTTAGTTTACTTGAATACTATCAGACTAAGTTTATATTTTGTTTATTTAGGAAGTTAATGTCGATTTACAAGGTATCTTGGTCAACGGTAATAATAAAACTTCATGGCTGTAAATTTATGGCATTTTTCTGATGATGTCTGAGCTCAGCTTTCTGTCAATGGATTACTTATTCATTAGATCCATTCATTCTAAGTGATTAATAAAATTACATTTATCTACACATTTTTGAAAGCAGTATATCTCCGTATACAGAAGGTTAACATCTGGAACATTTATTAGTGTCAATATCAGTTCGTGTATTTTGTTAAATTTTGCCTTTTATTATGCTCTTGTTAAATCCTAAGCTACTAATCTTTATATTAAGCATAGATTCTGCTTACTGGTTTAAAATGTTTTGAAAAAATGACATTGTACGAACTGTTTTCAGGTCCTAACTTCGTTGAATTCCATGCTTTCGGGTATTCCAAGTACAAAAAGGAGCTGTCTTTGGGACGACCATAGCTTAAGGACAGCTATGTAAGTTTTGTCTCATTTGTTAAATGAATAACAATTAATTGCACTAATCCTTTATAGTTCTAATTTCGGAGCTGGATTACGCAATTTGGGTGACTTTGATCTTCAGGCCCATTCTTCAGCTCTCCTACTCAGACTAGTCCCTCGAGAAATGCAGAAGCAATTTGCATCAACTTATATAATACGGGAGTTTCCGACAGTTGCACAAGAGTTCTCAAATATAGGGGGTATAAATTTCGAATTTGTAAGTGTATTTGCAGTTATTGGCGTTTCATAAGCTAAAGATTTTTGAAAATTTTTTCATTTCCTTAATCTGTTAAAACATTTGAAAACTTGTATATGCTAGCTACATTCCGTGGCCATATAGACAATCGAGCTTTTTTCATGATTGACGTTTGTGATTCCAAATAGCATCTATGTAGTACGTTGAAAACTATATTTTAATGCAACGTTTCTAAAATGTCGCTGTCCAGAAGCTATTAAGCGGTTATTATTCGTCCGATGATCGCTCTCCTGCCTTACGATGTATATCAAGTTTGCTTTATGGAGAGCAATATGAGGTCGTGTGACAATCACTAAATTTATGGTTGATTTTATTACCTTTATAACTTAATATTTAACTTCACTACCTAGTTACTAACAATTCAGTACTAATCAAAGACTAAGAATAATAAAGGTGTTTATATAAAGATATATGTTTAAAAACTTCATGATAAGGGTCACGGACTTAGCGTTACATGCAGAAATTTCTGTTGTGATGACCAGTTTAACATATATCAAAACGAATCTTTGTTTTCCGTGATCTTGCCTTATTGCAAGAAGCTATTCTGAAGTGCGGTGAGTAGACTGAGTCAAAAGAGCAACGCTAATTTGTCACTATAGATTCTCATATCTTGTATGATGACTGTATTAGTGTTTAGTAACAACAATGTACTTGTGAACCAGCATATTTTTACTACAAATAGAGTCACTACCTTACTAATGCTTTACTTACATAATTTTTATCTTTTAAGGAAGTTCGGTCGTTTCTCAACTCATTAAATGGCATTGAGAATGTTGATCCAAAGTTTGAATATTTCTTATTTGATTGTAATCTTAAACACTTCTAGAGTCGTCTCTTTGCCGTGTGAGGCTTTGAAACTATGCAATTTATCGGTAAGTTATTCAGCATAAAAATTATAATAATGGTACTTTGAATACATAATGGAATTTCCTTTCGTGATTTACAACATATGTACTTAATTGAAGATAATTTCTTGCTTATATGTGCAGAAATTCTTTGTTAATGTTTGTAGATAAGAAATGAATGAGATCAGCAACCTCAGTAATGCACACAGAAACTAATGAAAAATAAGCATCAACCCTTTGTCTTTTAAACTAATTGCACTTTACAAACTAAATTATCGATTCTTATCATTCCAATTTACTTAAACTTATCGTAAGAAGCTGTATGTTGTGTGTTTGGGAACCTTAAACGAGATGATTTAATGTTGACTTTGGTGGCGCCAACGTATTCATTATATTGGTCTGGATTTTGAGTTTTTCTATTCTTTCATCCCAAAACTACTTTTTTTAAATTTTAAACTGCATTTCTCACTCCTAGTTTCCCACTAAAACTGTCATATTGACTGTCCTAATTTTTTGTCGGTATAATACGCAGTGTAAAAACCTGGGCTGATGCAAATTTGTTTTGCGTTCCACTTTGTATATACTTGCTTGTATGCATCTAGTTCTCTACTTGCTGCGTTCCCTACAGTATAAATTATTGGATCTATTTATTCAGAAGGAGACTGAATGGGCTTCGTAGATTCAATCTCATATTTATTGGCTCGACAGTACTAAGTGAAACTAGAAGGGTTTCTGGAAGTTGTGCTTAAACTAGTGACCTTCATGGTATCCTATCTGTATTCACCCATACTTTCTTTCACTGATGGTATGACAAATCTAGAGCTCAAATGTGAATAAATGATTATTCAAGTCATATATGGGAGTTTTTTCCTAGTATATCCAATGACTGGATTGCAGCTAGCAGTTTCGTATAAGTTAAGTAAATGCACACATTTTTTATGATTACAATTTATAAATATTTACGTGATTTTATAGCTGCAGTAACTAATTTAATAATTGTTGGCCATATTCTTTTTGTTTTAAGCTAAGATATCCTGAAACTCCTAATGTCAAAGGAGACGTTTTCTGGCTAGATTTCAATTTGGGTACCAATCGAATTACTGCATATTGTTTGGCACCTTTTAATCAAGCTTCGCAAATTTCGGTATGCTTTACTCATAGCTTTACTGTCTTCACAAAATGTATTCCTTTTTGATGTTGCGCTTATAAACATTAGTCGGTTTTCAGACCAATAAGTTTTAAATAGTTTATCTATTACATATGCTCTTCAATACTATGATTGCGCTATATAGTATTATCGTATAGTTGAGAGTGAATAGGCTAGTCTAATATACCCCTATTTTTAACCAATAATGATGATAATATTTGTTATTCATATTGATTTGGCAGAGAAACAATTATTCAAAACACAATTCATTCTAACCTTTGTTTATCAGAAAGTATAATTTTCAATAAAATTTCCATCAATAATTATATTCTTCCCTATGTTTTCATTTCTAATGAAGTGGTAGTAAACTATACGTATTAGTGTATTGCACATAGATTTACTCTGTTGCTTTATTTGCTTTATATCATTTTATAGGACTGTACATCTCAAAATTCGTATATGTGGGAAATCTTGACAATCTATCCAGAGCTACTTGAAAGTTTGGATATAGAGCGTGAGTTAATGGGCAATAAATGTTTGCTGTTATGATTTCTGAGAGATATTTTGCTACCGATTTACTTGTATTTTTTTAAACATGAGTAAAGAAATTAGTCGATTTGTCTTTAGGTTGTCTATGTAATTGGATCCTTTTTCAAAATTTATTGAGATTGTATGCTTTTTTCACTTGGCTTAATTACAGGACATTTAGACTTTTAGTTATCTTTCAGTAAACAGTTTTTCGTACATTCTTTTAAATCAAGATATTCGACTGCAAACAGGAATGGAGAAACTGATAGAAGGTTGTCTGTGGAGTCGAAAAATAAGTATATTCAAAATGAGTTTAAAAATTAGACATCGTTTTTGTTGGGACTTATAACTTCATTTGCATTGATGATTGCTTTTTGAATCTTAGTGACATTTTCTGTATAATTTAAATATCTGCCAAATCCACTGCGTACGATTTGGTAAATTCTATGTGACTGAAGGGCTTTTAGCCATCTAAATATTGATATGGAAAGGCGATTGATTACTAAAAGTTGTGAAACTGCTCTCTATGAACATTACTATTATTGTGTTATGATATTAAGCCTAATATGAAAGCATTCCGGTTTGAATGATTCATTACCCTACTCCAGTACAGAAACATGAAATTCTCTAAAGAATTCAGGTTTTGCCCATGTAATCACTTATATCTATTTGTTAATATAAATTAGTTTATATTTCCTGTTCAAGCCAACGCTATGTGTAGATGGAAACTGCTAACCTCAACACTCACTTGTACTCAAATATAGTACGTACCGATAAAAACTAAACAATTTAAATTGTTTTTAACACTTTTAAGAGTTCATAAATCGATTTTTAACAAGTGCGTGGCAAAAACGATCGGTATTATACGATGCTTTTTCCTATGATTTTATTTTTTCGATGGAATAGTGACACTAAAATTAACAACTCTTTTTAGTTAAAACCTTGTAGTTGAATAGAATAGAACGTTTACAGGTTTAAACTTTTAATATGTAAGTTAACTTCTGGCTTCCAATTTCAAGATATGTCAGCGGTAAAGCATAACTATACAAAATAGATAGTTTAAACAAATAGCCAAACTTCCTTCAAAATCTACTTGATCAGTTGAGATACACAGAATAAATTAGAAAGTGAGGAAGTTCCATCATATAAATTAATTACAATAAGCGTTAATCCATACCTAAAATACATTCTACTGATTCTCAGTTAGAAACTGAAGGGTTTCTACACTAGAGCATACTTATATTGTCACACTGCTCTTATTTGTTGCTAGTAAGTTCGTTTGCTTGAATGTATTTCAATTTCGTTCATTCGAAATATTTTACTAAATTATATGAACATTTCAGCCTTTCTATAAAAGAAATTATATTCATTAGTCTGGTAGGTTATTTTTGATTTTTGTGAATAGAACTGGAATTGTACTTGTGAAAGTAGATTTCATTGTCGTCGGATTTTTTATCATTCAAAATGGTACAATAAGCATCAAAAGAAGTATGCGCTATGCAGCAAATAATCGTTTGTGAACTGATTTCCTATCGAGGTCCAGAATGAAGGCGCGTGGTTCCGATCCACAAGGCCGCATTACAACTTCATTTTATTCAGCGGCCAGAATACATTCATGAGCTAATTAGTCCTTTAGAATCATGAAATCCTTGTACAACACTAGTTTGGAATCACGGTTTTCCAACTTCACTAGGTAGCATACTTTGTATGCACCATCATCCTACATATTCGCTTTTATTTGTTCATGGATTATGCTTTGATGTTGCCCGTCCAGAAAGTAAATCTGCCGACTGCAGTTGTCTAAAGATACTTAAATTTAATTATTTGGGAAACTCGGCCATTACCGTTATTCACATTAAATAACATCTGACTAAATATCCTTTGTTCTAACCAGATTAGAAACTGGTCATGATATAGTGTTCATGTTACTACTATGACTGATCAAATTATTGAGTACGGTTGCCTTTATTCCTATAGTTCACTGAACATAAAAATCACAAGTTTACTGCACAACAAAGTCAAATATTTACGATAATCCTTTTAAAATAACGTAATTATATTTGACAGGACCACCAGATCTGTCGTCAGGTTGCTTCGTATGCAAAGGTTTTAGGAAAATGATTTTCTTTTTTACAAATTTTCTCTGGTTGAATTTCATTTTTACTCCTTGGGTTAAGTACCATTTTTGAGTGCTCTTCGTAAAGTGTACGCGTATGTTATTTATTAAAACTATATAAAATCAATTCCTAGTCGAAACGGATTTTATTGTTCTGCGTTTCACTATGACTGAGCCGATCAAAGATTTTTGTGAGTGGGCGAAGTCGGTTTCTGGAAATGTCATTGAAGCAAGAATCATTATCAACGCTTTGAGTAAAAATTTCTTCCAGTTAAAATTTACATCAGTAATTGTTGTTGATGACAATGAAGAAGCCAATTTAGTTTGTATTTTGAGGCGTTTACAATCTTTGCGTCAGGTATGTCGACATTTTTTAGTCAGATACATGGTGCTAGAAGCAATGTAATAGTTTTTCAGTGTTAAAAAATTTTGTGTTTTCCCAAATTCAACAAATCATGTGTTTTTTTGTATATTTACATACTCTTAAGATGTATATAGTTAGAAGATTTATATCGAGATACTTTCCAGAAAATCTCTGTTCATATTGATTATTGAAGACTAGGACTCGGTGTTTATTTATCAGCGTATTATGGCTCTCTCAAAATTTGAACACTTCGTATGATGAGATATTCACTCAACTTATGGGAATGTTGTTAAATTTTAAAGAGTTATTCATATTACAATTCTACAAGTAAATGCGCTGTATTTATGTAGGAGGCTTCCAGATAAGCTAAGTGTTCAATAAATAAGTCAAAGAGGGTCGAGTTACGTTTCAGTTTGATATTAAAGCGAATTGACTTTCGAATGATGATATGCAACTTGAACAACTGATCATTAGTCTTATTTAAAAATTTATGAAAAGACAAGTCGAACAATGAAGTGGTTTTTCAATGAGGTTCCGTTTCATGGTTTTATGCTGATATATCATTCATAAAATCAATATGAACTAAAAGATAAAGAATTAGTTAATAATATCTATTCACAAAAATGGTAGTGAATCATTAGATCGAAAGTTCAAAGGTTTATCGATCTAAAAATAATAGGTTATCGAAAGATTGCGTAATAACTAAAAAGGGAGAGTGTTTTGTGGTTTCGTAATCAAAGAAACAAATTAGGCATATACAGTTTAATTACGAAAGTTGGATTATGTTACTCAGATTTTTGACTTTTTTTCCCTTGATATCTTATAGCCGTTTGATGAGTGCTAATTTTATTACCACTTGTACAACATAGATTTATTGGTGTATGGATATGATCAGGGGCTAACTGCGAAATTTCAACGTTTTTAATTAGTGTTTTTAAAGTTTCAGCAAGAGTGTCAAATATATTGACAAATTCTATTACTTAAGTCAATTTTTCGATGAGAACTTTCAGAAAAAATCGAAGTATTGCATATGTTTCATAGTCCTGTAGCGGAATCATTGTCATACAAATCTTTAAAAGTACTTTACCTAATTTTCATCAACATAATTTATCGCCATAAATTATGTTGTAAATATTGTTTGACATATCAAATAGGTCATGTATAATCATTATCAACTGGTTGGATTTCTTTCAAATTTCGGATGCATTCATCATGTCTCTCAGTCAGTCAAATTTAATGTATGAACAATGGTTGTCAAAATAGTGATAAGATGAAGTTTCTACTATCAAGTACTTCAATACTGTCACATTTATTCTAGTTGAATTTATGGTCATTAAGATAGCGTTCTTTCTGATAATATAGAATTTATTTTAGAGTATTAATTTTTTATGCTGTCAAAACACATTTTCTGTGCACGCTTCTCTTTTGTTCCGAACTAGCAGAAATCTGTACCTAAATAATCATTTTTGTGAGTTTTTGTAAAATACAGAACTCAAAATTAGTTTTCATATCCCCCTCGAAAAAAATGTTTTAAATATCTCTTTTACATTTATTTGTTTCGTTATTTTATGGTTTCTAATATAAATCTGTAATTGTATATGGTGTATTTTCAGTATCTAAATGATGAAGCCTTTGATACGACTACTCACTTGAAAGTTCAGCCACTTGCTAAGAATCAATCTTTCGGTTCTATTGTTACCTCACCTATAAGTATCGATTCCATCAGACGGGAAAATTCTATACAAAAGAAAACGTTACCGAAATTGATGGAGGTAATTTCTGAAAATATTTTTATATCGTTGTTAACGCTTATTTTGTACTGTAGATGTGTACACCAAAACGGCCAAACAAATCAAGTACTTCATACCAGTCATCTATTGCACGTTCTCCTATTATATTCAAAAGTACGTTATACCCTTTGATGACAAATGGTAAAGATCTCCAGATACATTTGCGTGATGAAAAAGATGAAGCATCATTAGGAAATGAAGGTGTTGCTTATGGTTCTTTTGAAGTAATTCTCACTCCAGTCGATTCATTGCACAAACCTGACAGTACAACTAAAAAGTCCAAGATAGTTGAACCTTACTTTCGAAAAATTTCAGAAGAGGAATTTCATGAGAAATCATTTCTTGCTGACTTCCCTGTTAATAATAAGGCATTAGATGTTGATCTGGATAAATCTACACCTGAAAAACCTCGTAAAATGTAAGTTCTTACTTGATTCAGTTGTACTTAATTTATTAAATTAGAATAAATGATGATTATCCCGTTTAATTCTATATGCCCGAGTACTATGCATTAAGTATCAATTTCTGTTGATTTTTTATAGTTACTGGAATTTATTGTGCTTGACATATTGTGATTCTTAATCCTTATGGATTATTTTCAAGTTTTATATGAACCCATTTATTAATAGAATTTTCGTTCATAACATGATGATTAGTTTTTTTTTTCTGATTTGAATTTTAGAGTTTCGCATACCTCACCAGTGGCCTGTTTGAATATATCAGAACCTCCAATCAAAGCTGATTTTAGTGAATTTGATGAAAAAACTCCTGAGCATACCAAATTAAATTATGTTGAAGGTAAATACCAATTTTTTTGTATGAATCGAGTCATATTCTTGTAGCAGTGTAAGTCGAACTTTGTAATACATTCAGGACGTTTGGTAAGCTAGAAAAAATCTCTACTGAAATAATTTATTTGTTTGGGTTGAACAACCCCATCCGTTGTTGGTGCGAAAAAATTGCAACTGATTAGCCTTTTTTTGAAATATGTACATACTGAGGAGACTGTCCTGATCTTTCCATTAAGACACAGTCATTTACAGAAACGCTTGTAGGTGAATTCGAGTGGAGTTGAGGTTCGAATTATTTACAACTCTTCAGCCGCAATAGACTGATTAATCGCGGTCTCTACAATTAACAATGAAAATACTGAAACTTTTAAACAGAAATTAAAATTCGTCCCAGCTTCACAAACCAGCAGCTATCTGAATCCGATAGTTGGGTAGATAACGCATCGGGCATGTGAGGCGAAACGGACTGGGTTCAAGTCTTAGTATGAACATCAACATTAGGGTTCTGATACATCCATCTGCCAAGTCTCCAACAGAACAAAATGCATTTCCTAAGTTTCGCTGCTAGTTACTGTTAAATACTAGTTAACATAAGTTAATATTACACTTTTGGATACCGGGAATGTTATTGTTTGTATTGCCTCTAACACTTCTGTTTAACAAGATAGAGCAGTTCAATTTTCACTGCTTTAGTTTCTTCTATTTAAAAAGCAGTAATTTATTTTCGCCCCAATAATTCATATACCATATAATTATACCCGAATTTCTACTTTCCCTTTTGTCCTTCAGAACTGAAGATTTTTGTTTCCATGTTCATTACCGGTCATATATTACCAGACAGATTTTGATCTTTTACCCGCCTCATTTTATTCTCACTAAAACTATATCACATTCCTATGTGCATAAGTGCCAAAATCATCGAGCTTTAGTAACTTTTGTAAATTAACCTCTAGTATACGGCACCTCATTTAAGGATTGTTTGTTACACTATGACCATCCGAACAATATTTCATTTGCTCAAACTTCTCTGATGACCGAAAACATCTTGATGCATGTGTGTTCTTGCGACAGGGAGTGGAATGAAATCTGCTTAATGTAGTCCAGCTTTGATTTAAAAAATTCATGCACCTCCATTCATTTCCTGTGATATACTGTTGAAAATAACCGAGAAGTTAATTTTTATGAAGTTGAATTTATATGAGTTAGCAGACAAGTTTGATCGTTATTTTGTGAAAGCTGTGGAGGCTTATGTCGATTTTGATATCAATAAAGCATTAGTCTCGTCTTAAAATTTTTTGTTTATAATAATGTGGTGTGAATGATTGTAATTCATACAAGTGAATTCTAGTCACTTCAGTTCAGTTATATGTCGGGTCTCTCTGTCTTTGATTGTAATATAAGTAAAGCTGGAATTCAGCAACGTTTTTTGAGGAATAATGATGTTCTTATCCCATGAACTATCACTACTTTGAAATACTGGTTTCACAAACTTGGGTGCATCTTATTCCTTTTGTTTCAATGGTTTATTTTAAGTTTGCTACCGGAGCGGCTTATACACACTAAACCTTCGTCCCTTAGACTAGTAGAACAACCCCCGGTAGCCAATCAAAGGCCATAAGAGGGTAGAAGAAACTTTTATTCCAGTCAGTGTCAAAGTGTTTAGAGAAAACATTTATGTATATAGTCTTTCGTACAGAGTTTAAACATCATTAAAACCATCCAATATGCGATTACCGATGTTACATCATCAGTCAGTCACCTTATAACACATGGTCATTTTAGAAATTTCATCGAGCTTTAATTGGATGGAAGCTCCTCGTCTTTTTAAGAACCTATGGAGCCCTCTAGGAACAATCTCGAAACTACATGCATCCATTGTTTACTAATAGTGATACTAATTAGCCAGTGGATAGAATGTTATTTTCGAACATGATATTATGGAATCGTATGTTAGAGTTATCGGTTCTATTTTTGCTCATCGATCAATCATCTTAGACATCATACAACACATTTCAGTTCCATGGTGTTATCCTAATTTTCATGAAGTCTCAGAAAGCAACAAATTCTTAACTCTTACGAATCGAAACCTTTGTCTTCTGACTTTGAATATGGGCACTCAATCCAAATATACCATCTTATTTTTGTCATATAAATAACAGTTATTACGTATGTTTTATCATTTGGTTTATGTAGCTTATGTTAGCACAGATGTTCTTGAAGAATCTGTGGACAGATTATCTTCAGTTTCATCTACCAAAGTTATCTACAAACTATCAGATCTTGATGAAAATGTGAAACAACTAGTTAAGATTACCAAAGAACCACAAATTCTTACAGAAAATTCTAAATCCAATCTCCCACTTATTTCTAGTTTGACTAAATCACCTAAATTTGATTCTCAACCAGCAACAGTAGTAAGTATTGTTGTTTCATATTGATGACTACTTTGTGCATTCTTTATAAGAATCCAGTATGCTTTAAAATAACTCAAACAGACAATTTATTAGTTCCTTTCACTTGTTCCTTATATAGTTTATTTCATTAAAATTATCACCACTCACGTCAATTCCATGTTTTAGTTACACGTTAGTGAGTTGATTTTTCTTATCTTCTATTCTTATAACGATTTAAAGTATTTTTTAAAAATCCAGATGTTGAATATTGTTAGCTGTTATAAATCACTTACTCAGTAACTCAAATGCTCGTTCATTTGTATTTGTTGTTTCTTGAATCTTCACATTGATTTTTATGTCTCAGTCGGTCAGTCTCTTTGGTATATCTGCATCCTGTGCTGCTTTCCTCGATATTGCCTTTACGTTACTAGCATTATTACCAGTGGCTAGCTGTTGAATCCAGGACGCGCGTATTGTCCCGTTCGGGACTCATCCTCTGCATGTACCTGCGTCTTAATTCTTTGTTTTTGAATGTTTTAGGGGTTTTTCAAAATTCTGAGATCATTTACTAGTATATTATAGCAACTGAACCGTTTGATTTCACTCCTGCTAATGATTGGAATGTTACAATTGCTGTTATTACTTATAGGAACTTAATAGGTACCGAATTCTTGTGGGAACACAACAACTCAGCAAACAACTATTTTAAGTTGTCAGGTGTTGTGCGTTTATTTCCATCATTGACCTTTTGTACGTATTCACTAGTGAAATAAAATACCCATTATCTTTGGTTATGGTAGCACTTTTAAAAAATCTTTTTAAACGGAATACAACGGGTGCTAGCAACAAAAATCAGAATCACATTGTACATTAAATGTAACGATAACCCCTAACTTCAGTAACTATTCATCCTATTCTTCATTTTTCGTTATTGTCACAATAGAAATGTAAGGAAACTTAAGAAACCCATTTATTAAAATTGTTTTTCAATTGTTAGAATGAAGTATTTTATTTAATTATAACATAAGATTGTACATGGTAGTGATTAATACTATAAGCCAGAATGATTGGTTTTTTTCATTTTCGGGAACTATCAAGAATGTGCGTTTTCAGAGTGATGACAGTTTTTCCGCTACTGTCCTAACCTAATCCACTCAAAATAAACGTGAGATTTTGATAGAACAGTGAGAAGACGTAATTGATCTGAAAAATGTGATGTATTTGCGCTATACATTTCGAACAATCTGGTCACACATATTTACTTGTCAAGGCATTTTATATGAAGATGAATAAAAGGTCAATTAAGTAAAAGTTTAAATAGACATAGGGTGATAATTGTAAATAAAGGAGAGAGAAAATTAACGTAATATGAAAAGAATAAGAAGGGGTAGGAAAATTGTCACATTACCCTAGGCTTAAAGATTACCAAGGTAAATTCAAGGTTATGACAAATTGTTTCTGCACATATAAAGGGGGTTTTAATTTTCTAATAGCCAAGGCCTCCATAAACCTCAAAATTCATCTTCATATAAAATGCCTTGACAAGTAAATATGTGTGACCAGATTGTTCGAAATGTATAGCGCAAATACATCACATTTTTCAGATCAATTACGTCTTCTCACTGTTCTATCAAAATTTATAAAAGGGACTAATTGTTTTCGGATTTTCATAATCACCTTCTCTTCAATTTGTACCAATCGTTTTCCGTGTAATCGTTCGCCTTGTTTTGTCTACGGATTTTATCATTATATTCTGTTTTATGCCTTATCTCTACTAGTATTAGTATTAGTATATTGAGCTACAGATATGCTGGAAACGTTGTTATCATTTATTTTTCATCGCATATGATTTGTGCAACGCCTTTTGCAAGCTAGATTCTTATCCAAAGTCAAAACATTGTACAAACTTTGAAAAATATTTACTGTTTGAACAGATTTCTGGAAAAGAAAATGATTCAAACTTACGTATTTCAAAACCTGAAGTTCCGGAATCCGATACCTCTCTATCACTGTCATCACTGGTCGGAGAATACTCTCCGTTCCAAGATGGTCTGCCAACTTCTTCCTACTTAGAACTTGTCACTTCCAAACCTAAGCACAAGAGTTCACGATTAACTAGTAGAAGCATTTGCACATCCGCCAATAAGTCTCTATCTGTTTCAACGAAAACGCTTTGTAATATATCGGCCTCTTATCTTCTGGATGTTTCACCAGATGGAGTTTGTTGTCCGCTTACTCCTGAAGAATACACAGGTAATATTATTGATTATCGGCACTTTATTGTTTGAAATCTTCAAAAAATAATGATATTCTGTTAGAAAATCTTTATTCATTGTACAAGATACAATAATCTCATTATTTTATGACTTCAAATCTTCACTGAGACTTGTGAGTAAAGTTGTTAAGGTGATACGGTTTACTTTATGACATGGCTAAGGTCATATTATCTTCTCGAATTACATGTTTTAGTAATTATGAAACGATGAATCCTTTATGAGGCGATATAATGCATTAATGAATGAGGCGGCAGATGTGTTTGGTATATCAGTTGTCATTAAAATTAACTACTTCTGTTTTAAAAACTCGAGGTTGATTTTTGAGCTAACTCCTTCTAAGTGCTGACGACATCGTGAATGTTTTAAAGAAGGTTTTATGAATTAAATGGTCAACTCAGAGAAGATAACACGATAAAAGATTGTTTAATGTCTTTGTACCGCACTTATTACCTTCCGTTTTCTTCTAGCTTATTTAAACTATAATTAGGCTAGTGTACGTTGGAACCGTTAACCAAAAAAGTAAGTACAATATGCTTACCACTGTCTAGGCTTATATGATTTAGTCATAAATCTGAAATTTATCCATTTCATAAGCTCTCTGCAGCTGCTGTTCAAACCCCATGGTTAGTTGATTTTAATGAATATGATTTCCTATAGAACACTAAAAGTAATTTATTTAGTTTTAGACAACAATCTTTCGATTTCATAGACTGATTTTACTAAATTTGCTACTTTTGATTCTCCATATAGTTGTATCCTTACCCAAACTATCTACACAAGTTACACTGAAAGGAAAAGCACGAAGAAGTGGTAGGCAGTTAACTACTACCAAACGTAAGATTGGTAAGTTTTAGTCAGTTATATTTAAGCGCTTCAGTCTTGTAAAGAATTTTACTTGATGAAGAATTATAATAACGTTATTAAGCTGTGGATAATTATTCCCGAAATTAATAAACAGTAAATAATATACGGTAAAATAAGATATTATTATGTTTTTGTTTATTAAATATCTTATTGTATTGGTAATGAAATTCACCCTCTCCTCCACAGAATAAAGTTTGGAAAAATACTTCATTTCAGTGTAAATATTCATTAATGCATAATCTTGATATTTTTTGAAGTTTTTCGGTGTATTTTCATTACCGAATGTTGTTAGCGTATTACTATGCTGAGAATATTTTAAGGATAGCTGTCCCATTTTTTGCAGTTGGATTGACAGAGATCCTAGGTAGAATCTGGAAACTGGAAGTAATCCCATTTTACTGGTCTCAAGAAAGGACAAACTTCCTCTTATGAATATCACAGGGGAATAAGTCTAACTAATATAGTTTCTAAATTGTTAACCTCGATTATACTTAGACGCCTAACTAGAGCTCATGAAGAGCAGACTAGAGAAAATCAGGCTGGTTTTCGACTTGGACGCGGATGTATGGACCACATCTTCACTCTTCATCAGGTCCTGCAATTTAGACTCACATTTCATTGTCCCACTATATTTGTAATCCCTGACCTTAAGGCGGCATTTGACTCTGTCGATCCTGAGGTTCTGTGGCAGTGTCTGTCATTGAAAGGTGTACCAAAGAAGTACATTAACCTTATACAAGCTCTCTACTCGAAGATCACTGGTCGAGTCAGAGCTTATGGTGAACTGTCATCGAAATTGGTTACTTCAAGTGGTATCCGTCAGGGCTGGCCACTCTTTCCATTCACGTTTAACTATTTCTTAGACATACTTTAAGAGTGAACATTATCTTCATCTGACTTTTCATGAGTGAACCTTCTACGAGGGGACTCGCTTGTTGACTTGGAGTATGCAGATGAGATAGTTCCATTTAGTGAAGACGCTGACTACCCTAAGCAATAATTCAAGCATGTTCGGGATGCGATTGTTTACCTCGAAATACAAAATGTTGCTTCAAGATTGGCTTGCATCGGCACCTGAACTAGTGATAGGGAGTGAAGTATTTGAGCGTGTGGACCGCTTCAGTTATCCGCTCTAATGGCCTGGTGGCTGACGGAATCTCAGCACGGATACACAGTGCTGTACTGACTTTTTCCAACTCGTATCACTTATGGCGTCGATGAGATATCCGTTTGCTAACCAAAGGACGAGTGTACTGCGCATCAGTATGTACCGTCCTACTATATGGATGCGAAACATTGCCTGTAAGAGTTGAGGATATTCGTGGGTTATTAGAATTCCATCATAGATGTCTTCAAAGCATTGCTCGTGTATCCTGGGACAACCGAGTAATCAATGCTGTGGTTAGCGAAAGAGTACTTGATCAGTTGAGATGGTTAGGACATGTGTTACGAATTCCCAACCACTGACTGCCTCGTCGAGCGATGTTTCGTGGTGTAGAAGTAGGTTGGAAGAAAGCTAGGGGCGGTCAAACCAAAACATGGCACAAATCCATGAAGTCACTGACAAGTGGACTGAGTCATGTTGGTAGATGTAGGCGACCTGGTTGGGGTCCGCGAGACGATAGTCACCGATGGTTAGAGACCTTGAACGACATGCCTCAAAATAGTTTGCGATTGCTCAGGTGCATCCACTCGTTTTGTTTTCTGAAACCCAATCCTCTGGATTCGTCATCACCTCTACCTTTCTGCTTATAAATTTATCTCACTGAATTATGCTTTTTGAATAATATCTTCCAACCCTAATGTTCTCCATTACCAGTAATACTTCTACTATCTCTACCACTATGGGATTTGAACTGACAATTGCGTCTCTGTGCTAATGTGGTATGGAAACCTGAACTGATGTACGCAGGTACTAGGTAGGGATGATAGTTCAATAGATGAAGTGTTGAAACTTCATCAATTAAGATGGTTAGGATATGTGTTACGTGTTTTACTACTATTGAGTTGCTACTCTCTAATCGATTAATTAAGAGAGAAACTCATTCATTGATTTTCAATCGACACAGGTTTTCCATTCTCAGAGTTCAGCATTTCAAACACTGGAAATTAGATTATTTAAATCTCGCTTCACCTATCTCGATTAGTATAATTAGTTTTCATAAGATGATTGTCATCTAAAGCCGATTACTCAGACTTGATGTATTTTTGTCCGAAAATCTATGGGAATATGACAACAGTTACAAGTGGATATGCATTAACAGGGTGTATACTTTGCTTACAGTGTTAGTACTTGCAAGTTGACCCTAGCTATTAATGAAATGAAACGGAAGCTTACAGTCATATAAACGGTATGAAAAAAGTTAATGAAGTAAGATGAAGATTTTTTCTCTGAAATATATTAATCCATATATGTTAAATGTCAGGTTAGTTACTTAACTGAAATTGAATTCTTTTTCGTCTTCAAATTATTAGTGGTCATTTTATTTCGTATACAAATTTATGTGCAACTTTTCTAACATTTATTGTGTTTTATAAGATTTTTTCATGTTGCAGTCTGTGACGTCAAATCAGTTGGTTTCATACAATCGTTGCTTCGTAATTACTTGTCACTACTGGGTTTGCACTTTACCAAAAAATTACAAAGCAATTATATAATCCGAGAAGTAATATATTTTCACATTAATTTATTCTGATGATCAATTTAATAGTTAGTTATAAATGTTTCAGTCTAAAATAGCTGTAATTTCTTTTCTTTTCTTTGTTAATTGTTTTTTTTCTCACAGATAATCAAGTAAAAAGTGAAATATTACAAGAACTTGAAAAGACTCCATCATCGCCTAAAACAACACTCACATCATCCTTAGAATCAAGTGATTCTTCAGATGTCAATTATCAACCACTTCGTGTTCGACTTGATTCCTTTAATTCAACGGAAAGACGAAGAAGTGCACGACTTCTAAACAAAAGTCAAAATAATTTAAAAACCATTACTCAATCGGATGTAAACTCTTCACCAATAAAACAGGACATCTCATTCTCAACTCCTTCTCAAACACAGTTGTCTACTTCTCAGACTTTAACAGAGACACCTATAAACCTTCAAAAGATGATAAGACCTGTGTCTGCGTTTAGAAAGAAAAAATTCTTCTCTACTACTCGTTCAGAGAGAATTGAGAAAGAAACACAACGATTTCAAAAAGCTTGTGAAACGACAAATGTAAATAAAAAAACATCGAAATCAAATAAAAAGTGTCTAAAAGATAAAAATCAGAAAAATCTGGAAGTAAAAAGCAATCATCAACGAAATCAACAGCGTTAGTTTTTTTTCCAAACATACACTGTTATGCGTTATTCATTTTTTAATTCTGTTTTTAATTAAGTAAACCAAGTTTTTGATTGTGAAAATGTCACAGTTATATGTGTGTTAATTTTCATTGATTGATAAATGCATTAATTTCCAACCAGCTGTGACTGGTTTAAGTTCTATAGGTAGTCTATATCATAGTCGATTATCACATTATCACAAATTAACTGGAATTGAAAATGTGGACTGATATCAATTAAAATTAAATGATGCCTGTCGATCTTGAAATCAGTCGTAAGTAAGCATTGACAAAGAAGGTTAAACTGAGATGCAAGCTACTGTTTGGTTTTCTGTGGCTCTCCGTTTGACATCAGTTTGAAGTCAAAACCAGCTTTAAAATAAAAGATCTCCATAAGCTTCAATCTAATAACTGTAATATTTAATTTTTGTGTCATGTTGTTTATTCTTTATCCAGTTTCGAACCTAATTACTATTTTTATTGAACCGTAAAATCAGTAAGCTAACATTTTTGTTTCCGGAATTTCCTTCTAGTCGGATAATCTGTGTTTAAATTTGTTGCATAGTTTCAATATGACTATTGAAAATCTTTACTTTTATGTTCAGCAACCTAGTAAGCAAGTATGTCTTAGGTTAATCTTAGTAACATGTTTATTTTATATAACCAGTTGGTCACATAAATCAGTCGACTAGTTGTACGCATTGTGTAACTTGATTTATGTGTACATCGGTCCAAGTTTCCATACCCCATTAGCACAACGAGATGAAATTGTTAGGGCGAATACCAGAGTAATAGATGTTACATAATATTGTCATCAATTGATCTTGATGGAATGGGTGATTCCTGGCAGATTAGATCCCTTTTCATCCAGTTTCATGCTCTGTTACGCTCGACTCCAGGTATGCTTAAACTATTACGAGTTCACCTTAGTCGAATAACGAGAACAAACAATGATTCAGCGTCCAGGTAGGCTACTCTGATCTCTTGACCAAACTGAATCAGTAAGAAGTCTTGATATGGTGTAGAAAGTGTATTCTACAAACACCAAGCCAGAACACAATGAACCCTAGCCCCCAAATTGCGTTTATTTCTACTCTATAGAGACGTCCTTGGGACAGTCACAAAAATAGCACACTAAAAAGACATGAAATAAATCCAAAATAAAGATATTTATCAAGCGAGTTCTGGCAATCTAACATCCCCAACATGGTCTTAGTGCTACCATTGAGTTATTTGGGCAGCGATTTACCTCTTGTAGGACTGATGTATATTTGCTCTTGATTGACTACTGAGTAGATCCTGGTGTCATGTTCATCTAGTCCTTTTAGTGATGTGATTGACAAAACTCAGTCGACATTAAAAGAATCAGAATAGCATGACATCAGACTCTATTCAGTGGTCACTCAATTGTAAAGTTATTTAGACTTGATGTAGATAGCGATGACTTAATATTATTCTTGATGTGTTCAGTAAAACATGATTGGTTTTTGAACAAAGAGAGACATCCAGGTATAATAAATGTAGGAGGCAATTTATGATATTTTAAGCTCCTTCGTGCCACTGATATCAATAGTTAATAATCGGAGAATGATACCCAGAATAAACCCCGCTCACTTGCTTTTATTTTCAAAGAGTAAGTTATTCTGTATCTATAGTTCACTTGTCCATTGTTAGTCGAATATTGTTCATGCCACGTGGTCTAGTGGTTCCACGTTACTATCTTGAGCATTATCGTTTAATCTAAGGTTTTTTTTAAAGGGTAAATCATTATATTTGCCATTAAAATAGATCTGCGACTAGTTTAAAATCATGTATTACTTCTGTGCTACTGTTATTGCTCAACATGGTGTTATGTACTCATATCACCTTTTTTCCTTTATTTGGCGATGTTTCGAAACTTAGGAATTTCCGTTTTTAGCGCCATCAAGATTTTTATAGTTACCTGATACTTGTTTTAAGAGGAAATTTTCAAGAACATTTCAATTGTTACCGAGTAAATATCCATTTTTTAAAATTACTCTTTTATTTTGAATCCAGTCAAAGTTTTCCAATTTCTTTCATTTTAGCGTACAAGTCTGCACCAAAACATTTTCCAACTATTAAAGAGGCAATTAATACAGCGATTTTGCCTCATTCAATGCCAGTTGATAGGTATGTAATACATATAGTCGTAGCTGACTTGATTTTTCGCTCATTTTGAGTTTAGAACATGGTGACGATTGGATTCAATACATTAATCCGTAGTTCGTCATTACTAATCAGTGAGAACCGATTATCATTTTTTGTAACCCTCAAACTAGTAGTATGCATAGATTACACTGGGTAACAATGCATTACTGCTCAGTAAATTTTGCTTCTTTTGTCTAAAAAATTTGATGATCCATCTGAATCATTCTTAACGAGAAATCAACCTTTGTAGTAGTTCTAAACTACCTATTCCTTTTTAGTGTCAAGATTTTAATTTATTTGGTATAGGATTGTAGAGATTGTTGATTTCCATTGAAATCATGAACCAGCTGATGTTAGATCATCATCGAAAACTTGGAAGCACTGGATGGTAACTTTCGGGACTACTTAGCAATGTGTATCCATGACGCTGCTCATGAGAGTCGTACCCATAATCTTCCATCTCGCTCGCGAACGTCTCACCTACAAACCACTGAATCGGCGTTACATGAGCTCCACCGGTCACAACTTTGAACTAAAAACCCGGGAATTTCCTTTCGAAGCTATTCATTAATGAGCACATGCTATTATCGTTTATTGGTTTGTGATTTCAGTGTGACTTGTTTAGATAAAATAATGAGAAGATCATCAGAACTTTGTGATTACTTGCGCAATGCATTTCAAACAGTTCGATTTCGCAATATACTCGCTAAAACACTATTTATTTGAAAATAAATAAAAACTTAATTAGGCAAATCGTTTTATTTCTGCTCCTCACTACTTGGCTTCAGAAAAAGTTTTATAACTCGATCATCTTGTATGCGATTGAGATTTCCTTTCTACGATTGAGAATCTAATCTAACCTGTTCGGTTTAAGTAGACTTTTTAATATCATTCATGTTATAAAATAATGAACAGTCATTCATGATCTGCAGTATTCTGTTGAAAATTGTTCATACGTTTGTCTAACCATAATGTTTATCATGTTTGAGAAATCATATTTTGTGTTATATAGGAGTTTGTTGACAGACACTGCATGTTAACTAATCAGTTCATTTCTTACCCAAATACACTATTTGCAAATCAATTCTAAATTATATGGTGAAGAGCCCTAGGACGAAGTAGACACTTAATAAACATTATTCGCGAGGAAAAATGTCCGTGGATGAAGAAATCTGTAACAATGAAACATAAAGTATGGGAGAAACATACATTTTCCAATTATCTCCATAAATATATATTTTGAGAATTTAATCTTGTACTCACTAGAGTGAACCTGTCGAAATTGTTCCAGTGTTGGTGATGAAGTCAGTAGAAATCCATTTTCACGTTTAGTAAACTAGTATTTTTATATGATTAACATTAAAGTCAGCTTAGGTAGAGATTTTTTTTATCGGGTATTCCATCCATTTGCAAAAAGGACTATATAGTATGAAGTGGTTTTGTGTCACATAACCACTTAGTTTTAACATGAATATCTTATAGGAGATTAATCATGACCTGAGCAAGTTAGATTTACCATCTCTGACATCTATACTGCTGAACAAGGTTTCAAATTTCCTCGGAATAATATAAGTAGCTTTAAGACTTTAAATACATTGTGCTGATTATTGTCAACTGGTACGTTATGATTCTAATATGGGCTGCTGATTACTTACTAACACAGCAAACTTAGTTAGTAGTTCCATTTTTCAAGGAGACATCACCATGGCGTTTATGCACTTTGAGATAACCAGTAAATAATTTATTGGACACAGAATGTTTTGCTCAGCTGGTGTGAGATTTCCAAAAAAATATTCCTCATTTTCAACTTTATTTATATGAAAACATCTTTCGGATAATTGTTCCTGTAGTGATCAGGAGTTTAATGTGAAAATTGTGGATCCAGATGATGAATTTTCGCCCGAAAATGCTGATGTGATCTCTCCACCGCAGAAACCAGTCAAATTATCCGATAAACTCCGTCGATTGTGTGTTAAACCGTTTGATAAAAAATCGCCGGCAATTTTACTGAGTCCATATACTGAATTAGAGACAAATAACGTGAATGACCATGCATCTCAAATCAGCTCTTCTTCGAGTGCTGCAAGTTTATTCAAAATGACTCCTCCTAAACATTTTCCTAAATACTTGGAAACAGGAAAACGAACTAAGGTTGTTCCACTTAATTTCTCAACATCAATCAATCAGACGAATAAACCGAAGTTTACGTTAGCTAGTGAGAAACATGTAAGTTAATTTATTAAATTCATCCAATATGGTATATATAACCTATTATCTTCATAAAAATGACCACTATAAAATATCTTGTGATAAATAGTGACTTTAATTATTGTAAAGAATGGTTACTATTAATCTGATGATTTGTGAATAGTGTCCTTTTGGTCGTGAAAATAGTTAACGTCATTATAAATAAATTATTTTATTTAATATTGAAGTAATTATGAAACCATCCGTTTGTTTATATCATATGAAGAATAAAATAGTATATATTATTCGTCTTTTTGATGGATTTGCTGAAAAGAGTGCTGTTCAATGAATTAGTGTACATGCGTTTACAAAATAACGTGGCCATGGTAGAGGTATTTTACTTCAATCTGGAAAGCACATGACGACACTATTCTGATAGGTGCATAGCTCATTTGTTTGTAAATACACTTGTATAGAATCGTATAACAGTTTTTTGATCTAAATCACTGATAATAAATTGTTTATAACTTATTTATTTTTACTATTAAACTGATTTTAGCAACCTTCGAATTAAATTATTTTTGTCCCAATCTATAAAGTCAAAATTTGTTTGTGAGTGTTTTAACTAGAATATCAGCATAATTTTTGGTCATTCTGAAACTTGACAGAATCATCAAATGGATTGGTTGATAAGTGATTGTTATCTGGAACTTGATGGAATATTATGGTTTATACTTTCTTAATTATCTCTGAACTTTATCTTGTAGTTGAATTAGAACTAACTATCAAATCCCTTCAGTGAATCAAGTTGTGTAGTCAGAAAAAACAGTTTTGTAACTATTCGTTTATTAATTCAGTCAAAGTTTATTTATACGTTTAATTACAACATACAATTAGTTATTTCTCATTGTGTTGTAAAATGATTATATGAGCCGTCTTTAACACCTCATATACAGAGATTAGACTTATGATATTATAATTCCAATTTTTTTAAGATTTCTTTCATAAACAACCCCATGTATTGTTGTAAAAGTTTTGAGAATTTTTCAGGGATACACAACAGTTTAATACAAACAAATTTCAAAATGATATAGAAGTGTTTGTGTGATTGACACCGAGTTTGTTTTTGAATAGAAATTCTATGATCGTTGTTCGATGTATTTTCAAAATCACAAATCTAATGTAGAATATATTGTTTGTCAATTTCCTGAATAGCTTAAGTGAATTTTCTTTAAGTTGACTGTCAGTCAGTTCCTGAAAATTTTAGCTTGAACGCATGTTTTCAAGTTTTGCTATCGTTGTATCTGAAATAATAATATCCATTGCAAATGAAATTCGACTAATCAAACTAATCCCATTGAATATTTTTCATAATGCTGACTTTTAAAAATTATTTCATTTAAGTATTTGAAATATTTATTTACTCTAATGAGTTATGCTTTGGCATTATCATTGAAACTAGCTTCTGGAAGAAGATTCATTTGATAAAGACTTGTCAGTTTTTGACGCCGTTGAATTAGAATCCAACAAACCACAAATCTTAAATGATGAATCAATTGAAATTGCAGGACAATTCTATCGAGATTCATTCGATCGATCTCCTCTAGCTGACAACCTACATCATGTAAGTATTAGTATTTAGTGTTTTCAATTTAAACGCGATTCAAAATCTTTTAGATATTTATATATATATATATATATATATATATATATATATATGAGTTTGTAAACTTTTGTATTAAACATAGTCCATTGAATTTTGTAAATTTTTATGTTTCAGATTAGTCCGAAAGAACTGGAAGTGTGTTCAGTTACAAAGTAAGTTATTGATTTAGGTATCGTTTACTTTATTGAGATAATTAATGTCCAGGTTAGTCGGATTTAAACGCAATTGAAGGTATCTTATCTCATTTCAATGGCAGTTTAAATACGACCAATACCGATTATGCGATTGAATATGACTGTTACCCTTTTTTGAAAAATTACATAAATCGATAGAAATAGGATGATAAAATACTTAACATTCAGATAAACATGTGGAATAAACGTATTTTAATCGTTGTGCTTGCTTTTAGGTTTTAAGTAACACTATGTATGTTTCACTGATATGATACACTGGGTTGCCTATCATGAAAACTCGATGTGACTTTATTATTATTAATATTCATTCATTAAGTTAAAAGTATGAAGGATATTTCATTCGGATAGTGATGAGATCAAACGTTCTATGTTGTCAGGTTTATCCTGTACGAACTTCGACACAAGTGCTACATTACTAATGACTTTTAAAATTGTTGTGTTGTAAAAGTTCAACAAGAATTCTCATATATAATTACTACAGCAAAAAATATTCATAAGAATATAGTGTAAGCATTCGGTACTTCAAATTTTATTCACTATCGTTATTCAGAAAACTTTAGACTAAATATTTCAGTGTATGCATTTTTATAGGTCGGTAAGCATTTTTGAACTATCACTAATGAGAAGCTTGTACATGTGGGAAATTACACCATTCTTAGTGGTTCTTACTCAGTCCCATTTAGAAGTGTTCATGAAAAGTCACACTAGAGTTTGTCAAGTTTGGTGAACTATGTTTTCTACAATATATTTTAATATTTAGCAACTGTCTGTTATTATTCCATTTCATCCTATTTTTCACAACGCATTTTTCCTAATCTATTGAAATGTTCATCTTTCAAATAATCTGTATCTATTTTCTCCATGATTGTCGGTGAAGAAGTTTCATATTTAGAATTTTTCAGACCTTTCATTAAGTTTCATGGTTCATTTCATTATATTGATCAATCCTTTTATTAAAGTTCATTTTTTATATCATCATTAGTAAATATTTCAACCCTACATAGAGTTTAAATATGAACTTACCTATGTAAAATAACATTTTTAATAACTGCTCCTACATCTTAAAGAGATAAGGTATAATAAACTATGATAAACTCAAATAAGTAATTTGATAGTAATGTTTATCGAGTCTTTTGTGCATTTCTATCTTGAATGTTTAAAATTTTCGAAATTCACTTACATAAGCTCATCTATGACAGTATAAACATACCACAACAAAACCTAATCTGATAGAAAGCAAGGTCAAGTTAGAAATTGTGAGGATATTCTAGAAACGAACATTTTTCATACATATATATTGAAATTGTTATAGTTTGACTTTTAGTTCAATATTGTGCTTGTTTAGTTTGATCAGAAGAGTTAAGAACGTGGGATTTTAGATGATAACAAGTATGATATGCTTTTCGGTATATATTTCAATCTTCGCAGTTAATGAATCACTGAGGTTTGTGTTTTGTATATCTGTTACTGGTAAATATCAAGATAATTAGTTACTGATCCTTCAAATAGTTATTCTATTCATCATTAATTTTAATCATACAAGTATCACTAACACAGTTGTATTATTCATCACCTTGCATCAATCTCAATCCTGACTCTCTCTTAAAGTATACTTTTTCTTAGACATATTTCACTTGTTTATTTTTTGTTGAAGTTATGTAAAAGTAGATCCGTCTACATTATTTTGTTTTGTTCATAAACCGTACTTAAAGTGTATTCAGAATATGAATGAATTTTTACCCAACAGAAAATGGTCAATATTTAAGTACTTGTCAGTGTATTCTATTCATAAATACAGTTTGATGTCATTTGTTCAATTTACTTTTACTGATTGGTTTTTCAAATAAACGGGTTCGTTCACACTTGTAACCTTATAATTTAAATAATTGAATCGGAACACATTTCACTGAATCAATATCGTAATAATCGTGTATATATATAATCTTAAAAAGTATTTTTGCCATATAAAACAATTTATTCTCCTTATATATTTTTAAATTTCAGTCTTGAATCTCTTTTACAACATGTTGCATTAATTTCGACAAAAGTTGAAGAAAATATACTAACAGTAAGTTCACTGACCATTATTATAATTGTTATTCATTCACTTGATTGTGTACAGTCACAATTATACATGAATAAGATTTATTTATTTTAAATGACCCTTAGTTTGTTATCAAACTTCTAGGCATGATCAGTAAACAAATATTCTGAATTTCAATTATTTATATCACATTATTATTAATTAATAATAATTATTATTAATATTGTTTCATTTATTTTGTTTACTATCAATAGCATCAAGAACTTGAACAAAGGTAACGATAATTTTTTTTCATTGGTTATATATTATACAGAAAAATTTCACAACGTTCTATAGATTCATTTTTAACTTGTCTTATCATGTTCTTCATCAGAATTAGGAATAAAAAGCAGAAAATATTTCAGTCATGCAGTGAAAAATTCATCTTAATTTTATTTATTGAAAGAGAAACTAATAGAATTTTCACCAAGTTGAATAATTGTATGAATTAGAATTTTCTAAAAGTTTTAAACTTTTAAGAATTACATCAATGAGTTGGCTAATGATTTGTAGATGTTTTAATTCTGAGTAGATGAAATAATATTTAATCATTCTGCATTTAAGTTTGTAAAAACAAAACATAAATCATCTATACAATGCTGTTTAACTTTAATTCCTTTTATTTTATCTGATATTAATTTCTAAAAAAAGAAAATCACCTGTCTATAATTTTTGACTTACATCCATTCGCTTGTAATTGAATCAGTTATCAACTGAGTGATATTAGTATTGGTAACTTGTGTGTATTATGAAAACCCTGCGAAAACTAATAAATAAACAATTATGTTTGTGTTAACTATTCAATGGTTAAAATCAATCTACATAATAATACATATTACAGGAATTTCATTTTTGATAAATTTTCATCCAATTATATTTAACCAACTTAGCTTAGCACAGGAAACTTTTCAAAAATAATTCAACTGAATTACGAATATTTTCCTTGTTACTTTAACAAATCTGTGTCACATATTCTGCTATCATCATTAGTATCTGTAATTTTAAATGAAATACATTAGCTGAATCTTTGGTTGAAAATCGACGCTAGGAATGAACAGTAAATTCTCATTCATAAAATATCCAGTATACATAAAATATATATATTTTTGAAAAAAATGGCGTTTTGTTTAGAGTATCAATACAAGTATTATAAATTGCTTTGTATCATACTGATCGATGAATGGGATTGATACTACATTAAATCTTCCAATAAAATTGCAAATGTTATTAAGTCTATTAACAATTCACTAATGATTTGATATAATTTTTAGAATCAGTCTAGTTATTGTGATTCATTTGAAAGTTTCACATGTTCATTAAATAATAACTGCTATTAATTAAAGTTGGTTTATTTTAAGCTTCATAATTGTAATTAACTTTACAACAAAGTAATTGATATGTAACTATAACATGCTTTATTATCGCCTATCTAGCTTTTTATTTGTAAAATACATAGAAAAGTTTTTTAAAGAAACTCTGTTCGTCTATAAATTGACATTATTAAACCACAAAAACTGTGTACATCATTGAATTGGTTCAGTTTACTATAAGTTAGCATAAGTATAAATCCTAATACCTTATAATATTTACCAGCTTAACGTTTTATATAAATGCACACTTAACATTTGATATTTATATTCATTTTGTGTTCAATTTATTTACTATAGCTTATAAAATGATCATATTATTAGGCTATTTATATAATTTTTTTGTAACAGTCTATTTCTACCCGAAAAATATTTTTCTAAATCTAATTCATAGTTTTTTGAATATCATATTGTTTATTTTATTTAGATGGCTTTCAGTTCAAAAAGAACTATCCGATTTAAAATTGAATATTCAAGAAGCAGTCAATAAAAGCATTTAATCAATTATACAAATGCAGATTATTTTCTTTTTTATATGTAAAAAAAAAATTATCAATTGTGTTATATACTTCAATAGTTTAGTTTAGTCTTTCAGTTATTCGTTTTTCGATTATTTTTTCTTACTTTTTTTATAGTGAACTATTAATATTGATATTTTACATTATTATTAATATTGTTACTATTGGGGTTAGTTAAAATTTTTAAGAAAAATTAATCATGTTTCATACAGTTTGAGTGTGTAATACCATTTTCAAATGAATTAACCTTTTGAATTAATATTCGATCGTGAATTTTTTAAAATACAAATTATTGAAACTGAGTTATGTTTAATTATCTGTTTAATAGTTATATCACTGTTTAAAAAATCTAACTAAATCGACTCTTAGACGGGAAATCGTTCGATTGGGAACTGCTTTGTTTTCGTGCGTCTATTACTTCAAAAGAAAAGTTAGTAAAAGGAATTCGGGTTACCTATTAATTAAATAAAGAAAAAAAATTGTTTATTGTATTCATGATTTTGGGGAAAAGATGTAACTATATGTTTCAGTACTGATCCTGTTTCACTTTGTCATCCCAGCACTAGGATCCAAACTGGTGAGACAAACTCTCGAAGGGATGTTCATACTCCGAGTTCTTAGCTTCATTCGATATTCATTTCTGAGGGATGGGTTGTTGAATAAAAGATTGGAATTTCAAACGCATGTTCGCAAGTCCTAATGTTCATTCAGCTACTTTGGTTTGAAAAGCCACGTAATTTAAATAACCCTGTTACGAATTTGTGTTCCAGTACTTGAACTTATCCTTAACACATAAATTAAGTTGATCATAAGATTTTTTCGCTGGTTTACTTTGTGCACTTAATGTCTTTTTCATAAAAGTGCTGATTGACAGGAGTAATTTCTTGAGGAATTAAGGGGATTCGTTCGCACATATTCTGAGATATTGAAGCAGAAACAATGTGTTGATACTCTGAAAAACGCTCAGTAGTTTAGCGTCTTTCTGCTAGTGATGCTACATTAAATCCATTATTTCAAAATCTAAACGAGTTGTGACAAGTGTTTAGTTATTGACAGTATCATACAATGAAGCGTTGTTGTTCTGTGATGAATAAGTTAATCAAGACTCATTGATTTATGCCAACTGCAACTTGATATATACTTTTGTTCTTAATTGCAGAACAGTGTTCCTGGTAATCCTTCTCTGGTTTTCTGTTATTCGAAGATAGTTTGGTGAAATTCTTTTTATCCTCAAAGTTTTTATTCTTATTTAATCATTTGTACTTCATTCACTTCAACCCTGTTTAGTTTTGTGTGCCATGACTTAGTGCTATACTGTATCAGTCATTTTCTGTAGCTAGATTGATTATAAAAATTATCTTTTAACAAGAATTCGCTATCGGATTATCGGTATATTGAACTTACACATTCCTATGCTTCGGGATGTAGACTAAATCAGTTTAATATGAAATCTAGGTAATATGGCTAACACATACACCAAAGTTACTATCGCCACACTAATGTTAAGAAATAAGGATTGTAAAATTCCGTTGGGAAGAAAATCATCAGTTTAGCAGCATGCTAGAACACCAAGGCATCGTGAAAATACCTATTTCTTCATTAATCTTCGTATACTGGGATTCATTATCAATACAATCTTCGAAATTGCAAACCTGTGGAATCAGTTGACTTTATGTCGATATTAGTCATAACTAATGATTATTCTGCTCTGTTCAACTCAAAACAGCCATACGTATGTACTGTCGTAAATCTGGTGGACGTAAATATTAAGAGAAAACCGCTAATTTGTTAGATGTGGTACTCTAAATAACTGTGTAGTGAAGGGGTATTGCTGAATGTCAGACAACATTAGTAGAATGCGAGCAACAGTCTACACAAAACAAATCAAATGTAATGCATTAAAATCTCCATTAAGTATTCAAGGACTCAGAGAAGGATTAATGTTTTAAATAAACAGTTTCCTTTCTTATACATTGAGTATTTAAAACGTTTATAAGAAATATTACATAAATTATTAGAAAGTTATGTAACTAAAAAAGACAGAATTTTGAGATTAGGTCTAATGGAAGGTAGTTTTGATGATCAAGATCTGTTAAATTGTTTCATTTAATTTCAAGCTTTAGATAGATAGAAAGAAAGGAATTCAACGAATATTATTGGTCTTGAGATCCCAATCTTCAGACCACAGTATCTGGTCGATGACTAGCTAGGGATAATATTAGGATGATTAATTGAAGTGAATGTCATTATCTTAGTTTATTGACTTATTCTAAATCGAGAGTCAACGAAGTTGAGGGGGATTTGGTGTACAGGCAAAAACTTAGTAACTTTTGAACAGAATTAACTAGAGATTTTGTCGGTAATGCAAGAAACATGGTACTGTTTTTATATTGTAAGATAAGTTTCTCGTCAAGATTCTAATGAGATAAAATAATATTGTTAGTAAACTGTATACCCTACTCGCTTTGCATTTATTCTGAAGTAAAATTCTCTTGCTACAAAGTAATTATAAAAAATGATGTCGAAAGTACTTTTGAGTAACGTTTAATTTAAGTATTTGAAAATTCATGCAAACGATAAGCGATAAATATAAGTACACCTGAATTGAAGAGGTAGAAATAACTATGTGGTGTTTGAATTAACTAGTGACTTCTTGTTGTTGTTGAATGCTTGATTTCGAATTCTAAATACAATACATTCGTTTGTGCTCATTCCATAGTTCTTCTAATCATCATACTAGCGTCGCGATGGAGCTTCTAATGGAACAGCTAGATATTCATTCTAATTCTGAAGCTTTTGGAAAGGTTTGAATTCTGGAATATGACCAGGAAAGATATCAAAGATGATAAAATTGTGGCTCATTTCCTGACATTCATCGGAAAAGAAGCGTACAGCTTATTAAAATCTTAGGCATATCTAGAAAAACCTATCTCACTTCCCTATGCAATGCTTAAGGAGTTATTATTAAATCATGTAAAGTGCCCTGGTTTTGAATGCCGTGAAAGGTCGAAATTTCATAAGATGATTCGTCAAAATGACCAAAAGGTTAAAGAATTCATTCTTGAATTGCAGAAACAAGCTGTCAAATGTAATTTCGGTGATCAACTTCATGTGCAGCTGAGAGACCGATTAATTGCAGGAATCAACATACCTAGTTTGGAAAGAGAGCTGTTAAGAATGTCAAACTGTTCCTTTCAAGATGTTAGAACTGCGTGCATTAACTACGAGGCGTTGAATGAACTTGATACTCAGTCGATGAAGATTTCCAATACTTTGATTAGTTGTCATGATGAAGTACAATCTCAGGGTCAATCAAAATTGTGTTCGTTTAACAGTGGTCCCGATCCTCGTGTAAATATGAACGGTGTCTCAATAAAGAATTACAAAGGAAATCACGAAGGTGAGACCAAGTTTGGCAAATGTTTATCATGTGGAAAATTTCATTTTCGTCATTCATGTACATGTCGTAATGCTAAATGTTTTAGATGTGGTAAGATAGGACACATTCAACTAGTATGCAAAGCTACTGTTCATTTTGCCTCAAGTAGTACTAAATCTTGTAATTTAGATCCCAATAATTCAGCTGATCCTAATGATCATTTATCTTTGTCTACCATTTCGAAAGGTAATGCTCATATTCAAAAGCGATTATATACATCGCTTGGTTCATGTCATGACTTTATTGTGGACACAGGCAGTATAGAGTCCATTATTTCATTCAAGAACTTGAAATCTTTAGATCCTAACGTTGTGGTTCGACCCACTGAAGTATCAATATAGGGAATTACTGGACACAGACTGCCTATACGAGGATGTTGTGAATTGCTAATAAGAGATGATAATTCCTCATACATACCTTGTGAATTTTTAGTTAGCGAAACAGGTCTGTCAATATTGGGTTTAAAGAATTTGAAAAAACTTAAAGTGGAGTTGTCTTCCCTAGTTTCTAAAGAAAATTCTGATGCTTTACTTTAAGATTTGATAGCCACGTGTGCTAAGTGCAGTGGAGGTATGAAAACGGTTCAGCACAGGAGTGCCAAACGAATTAAACATGTTGACTACATTTCCGACAGTCATTACAAGATAAACCTGTTAATACTTCAGACTGTTTGTTGGTGCAACCTTTACCAGTGAAACGTCCAGATCTCATTAGAGAAACTCGTAGAAACTTTGGATGTATAATTAATGCCATACGGAAAGGTTGGCATGCTATTCTGAAACGCAGATTCCCTATCTATTTTTCAAAGCGGGATGAGCTATCCACTACTCCTGATGGTATTTTGTGTTTAAATGATCGTGTTGTTATTCCTCCTTCATTGCGTAAAGCTGTCCTGGAAGATCTTCATAGTGGACATTTAGGTGTTGAGAAAATGAAGTCCTTGGCGAGGCTCACGTGTTGGTGGCCAGAGATAAATGCAGATATTTGTCGTACAGCAAACAATTGCGTAAAGTGTCATAAGCTGAAAAGTCAGCATTCGAAGTGGACTCCATGGCCAGTATCGTCTGAGGCCTGGCAGAGAATTCATGCAGACTATTGTGGCCCGTTTCTTGGCAAATACTATGCGCTTGTAGTCATTGATTCTTTTTCAAAGTGGCCTGAAGTTTTTTTCACAACTTCACCCAATTCTGACTTCACAATTCAAGCATTAAGAAAGGTGTTTAGTCGAGAAGGGGTTCCAATTGTGTTAGTGACTGATTGCTGCAGATGCAGTCACTACCTGGTTAAATGGTACAGGGTGCAAACATCTGTTTACTACTCCTAGACATCCTTGTTCCAATGGACAGGCAGAAAATTTTGCCAGGACGTTGAAAACTGCTATTGATTCTATTGCCACCTCAACATATAATGAGCTGGAAAGGGGAGTAGATACCTTTCTAGTGCAATATAGAAATGCCAGACATTCGGTGACGAAAGAGACTCCATCAAAGCTAATAAAATAAAGAATTCTTCGGTCGAATATGAGATGTTTTGAGTCTGCCGAAGTTACATATTATCGTGGCAACGATCTTCGACCATCCACGGGGATTGTTCTGAAGAACGTCGGGAAATCTATGGTGCGACTTCTAGATATCAATGACTTAAGTACACACAATCGACATGTTGATCAAATACAATTCCAGGAACCAGGTGGGTCTGTTCCAATTTCGGTTGTTAATTCTAATACTAATGAGAGCATTCTAGATAATACAGAGACTTTATCCAATACACTACCGGACAGACACAGGATGAATTTGAGAAGAAGATGTACAATTGATTACAGACACTTGGATTCCAAGTTAAGCTGTGGCGGATGTGGTGTTTGAATGAACCAGTGACTTCTTGTTCTTGTTGAATGCTTGATTTCGAATTCTAAATACAATACATTCGTTTGTGCTTATCCCTTAGTTCTTGATTCACATACTTCTAATCATCATAACCCACATTTTCTGAGGAGTAAACCAAGGGTTTTTGCAAGCTCCATTGCATCCTGCACATTATCAATTGAAGCTAAATAGTCGTCGACATAAAAACTCTTATCTACAACTTCCTGGACATCTTTATTCAATTCCTTTCCGAATATATCTACCGTCTTCCTAAGAGCAAAATTAACGCAAGAAAGAGAGGACACGGCTCCAAACGGATGAACTGTCAAACAGTATAGCTTAGCCTTTCCTCCTATATCACCGTCTTCCCACCATATTAGTCGAAACGCTCCCCTATCTCGTCTCGGGATCTTTACTTGAAGAAACATCTCCTCGATGTCAGCGGCTAATGCTACGTTGCATAATCTGAATCGTAGAATTATACCAATTAAACTATTTACAGTATTTGGTCCTCTCAAAAGCTGATCATTACGAGAACAACCTTGATAGACAGCTGCACAATCAAAAACAATTCTTAATTTTCCAGGCCTTTTAGGGTTGATAACAGGATGATGAGGAATATACCAACAAACAGCATCACGGTCGAATTCCTCCTTACTAGCTTCAATGATGTAGCCTTTACTTAAATGTTTATTCATTACAAGTTGATATTTCTCCAGAAGACTATTATCCTTCATAAACCTCTTCCTTAAACACTCTAGTCTAGGTTCAGCTGGTTCCAAATTATTCGGTAGCCTTGGCTTATCATACTTCCAGGGTAGACCAACTTGGAAATGGCCACCTTCCAGTCTAAAGGAACTATTAACTATTTCTAGAGCTCTTATATCTTCGACAGAATATCCATTACGAAACCCATCTGCATCCTCAAACTCATGATCATATACTCTTTCTATATTTCGCAAAATATCATTAGTAGAACAATGACACCACTGAACTTGATGTAAAGACCTCGATGCTACTTAAGGACCTAAAATCATCCAACCGAGATGAGTACGCACACCAAACGGATGCTTCCTGTCTCCCAAACGTTGTTCAAGGACCCAATGTGCATCTGGAGCATCACACCCAATCAATATTCCTACAAGATTACTTTGCAGCCTCGGTAGGGTTATGTCCTTTATATGTTTCCACCTTCTCAGCTGGAGTTCGGTTAAAGGTTCTGCATAACTGATCGGAAGTTTCTTGGTCGTATAGGCCTTGTTGATTTTTATAGAACCCCGCTCATCTAATGAAAATACCTCTAAATTTACTTCCAGACATTCACAAGTAGAAGTTCCATTCACAGTCGTCACCTTTATTCAAGTCTCCTTACCTTTGAGACCTAACCGATTAATTAACTCTTCTCATACAATAGAGTTATCTGAACCATTATCTAGAAGAGCGTATGTTTCCAGACATCCTTTGGGGCCATATAGTCTAACCGGAACGATACCCAAACAAACCCTTAAGAATTTCCAATATTTAGCAAAGTTCACCACATGTTTGTTTGTAGTATCAATATGTAATAATGGATTATGCCGAATCTTACAATTATCAACGTCACACCTTATGTCCGAGTTACACGACTTGGCTATGTGACCCTTCTTTAAACGCAGGTAACATAGACCACGCTTCCTCACTTCCTGTTTCCTCTCTGTAACATTCATTTTTGATAACTTCATACAATATTTCTCATTGTGATCTGCAGATCATCGAAATGTTCCACACAGGATGCTAGAAAGTCTTGCAATAATGACAAGACGGCGCACACATTCCACAATAATAATTAGTTTTCTTGGTGGTGTTTCATTCTCTGAGCTGGATATTTGGTTGTGAAGCATTCATTGTTCTTCTGAAAACAAGAGTGAAAACAACGACAGCTTTAAGGTCATCAGCAACCAGTCATTATAGAGGTTAAGAGAACTAGCTACAGGTAAAACGTGGAGAAATTCGGATACTTCACTTCCATCAGAAGTTTGTGCCGACGATGTTGTTCAGAAGAACAATGAATGCTTCACAACCAAATATCCAGCTCAGAGAACACAGCGCCACCACAATCATCCTTCTGCGCTACAAATTTTCTTCACTATCTCGTAAGAAGAGGCGTTTGACAAGCGATAACTCTCTTTTTCGTGAAGAAACAAGAAACAGTTTACTGAAGAACCTCATAGAAGTTTGTAATGATGAGTATATGTTTATCGTGTCGCAGTTTCAATCAGGTAGTTTATGTGTCTTGTATCTAGTTACATGTCTCAAGTACAACAAAATCAGACACAACAAGTCTGTTGCCAGAACAACTGTTCATTTTACGTATGGCACCAACAAACTTTTATCTAGATCCGAATGATTTAGGTGCTGCGAATGGTCATGTATTTTCTTCATCCACATTCAAAAGGGATAATAAGTCTTTACTGTAGAGTAAATCAAACACGATTGGTTTGATTGAAACATTAATTATTATATCCAATTGCACCAGTGATTGTTTTACTCTACTTTCTGTTTATAACACTGTGGACGCGCAAATTTTCTGCTAGTGTTGCTGCCATTCTTTCTCCATCAACTGTGTAATTTTGCCCTACTTTTCTGGCACGATTTCGATATTTTTTCGAAAACACGAAATCGCCATTAAACATATTCTTTACTATGGAATAACTCTTCCTCTCAGAGACGGGCTCGTAACTGCTGTAGTTGTTATCATAGCCAATCGCAACTTTATAGCCACTATAACTGCTGACACAGGCAGTACAGGGTCTGATACTTTTTTCCAAAATCTAATCTTTGCAATCCAAATTTATCTGAATAATATTGCAAAAAATTCCTTTCTTGGCATGTTCCTCAGGTGCTATAGCACAATGATGGGAGTGATTATCAATATCGGCAGTTAATACAATATAAGCCTACCTATAATATAGACTATATATTTTCGAAACCGTTTCGGTGATACATCTGCATTTCAGGAGAGAAGCTCGCTGATACTTTTGATAAATACTCGGTGTCATACGCAAACGTCGAAATGATATTTTGAAACGTAGATTACTCGTTAAATTTACCAAGTCAGATGAATTACTCACCACTCTTGAATGTTTAAATGACCACAACCGAATATTCAATTTCTCACACAAGCTGGTATAAACTAACTGATATCTTCGCGCAAGATTCTTGTACTTTCAATAAAGTTCCAGGCATTCGGTAGTGGTCCCAAACATTTTACGCAGCCAATTCACCTATATAATTTACATATATCAGTTATCAGCTTCAACTGTTTATAATCATTCACATTCAAATAGATGGATTATTATTATGAGTAGATCTTGACTCCGGCAACTTTCTTGCACAATATATCGAAAATCACTGCTGATTTGTAATAGTACTTCAGCAACAACATAAGGTTCTTGACTGTTTCTCACAGACGACTACACTATTGGACCATATTTGTTCTAACTAGTTATTATAAGTGTCAAGGCCATCTTCTAGTATTTTCATTGGCTCCAGTAGTTTGACAAATGGTAGTTCGCTTGAGGGCTGCTCTGTTTTAAATCTTGTCACTATCACGTATTGAGTTATGACATTAGGTGGTGATCTTGAAGAAGCACTTTCAGTATTTGGAGATTTAAGGAAGGGACCAAGAGCAGAATATTACTTCAAATGGTCCGTTCTCAGTTTTGTTTGCTGTTTATCAATCCATCATATCATCAGCCCTTGGATATTCACGCGATACAATAAGTTATATCGCAATCTATCTCGGGCTCAAAGAATGGAATGGGATTCACGGTGAGTTGTCGTAGACAAGAAAGTTTAAGTTTAATACTATGTCACACACCAATCTGTTGTTAATTTTGGATAACTTCAGTAGTAAGCTGTAGCTAAATACGACTGAAAACCCCGCAATACCAGAGATTTTGTGAACTCAATGCTTCCCACAGTCCAGCTGGTTGCGTCGCTCTGGGTGATCATAAACTGAGCTAAGAGAATCGATCACCTTGTATTACGACTACGGAATCATTACAAGTCTGTTACCTTTGCAAAACATGAATATATCCTTTTTTTCACAGAGAAAGCATATGCAACCATTAGTTAGCTATCATTCACTTATCTGGAGCATCTCAATATCCGATCCCCTTATTCTAGAACCTCAGTAATAAACCACTGCATTTCGTCATTTTTATTGACAAAAACCGTCTGTGTCATAGGAATAACATTAACTGAACCTTACCTTTCTAGGGTCAGCTATTTACCTTGAACACAGTACGTGTTGGCGTAGAAGCATGGTAATGGAGAACAAAGTGCCTAACTCCAAATGTGTTGTCAGTCGATTTCGCCCTTAACTGTTAGTCTGAGTAAAGTTAGTAGCTGCATATTACCTGATTGATTCCGGCGACCATAACTGACTGTTAGAAATTCTAGATAAACTACTTCGTAATCTTTGGTTTTCCATCTTCCTCTTGATCTTTGATTCTATTATCTCAACAGATTTTCTTTCACGGTCTCTCCTCGAACCATATTCCCATAGTTAGGTCACTTTTTCTTATGGCTACCACGTTCAGATCTCTTTTATAACTTCTAATTTATGTTAACCAGGTATTGGATCTTCAGTCAGTACACTTCTTTACCAGTCTTATATCCTTTCGTTTAAAAACTAAAATATTCTTACAAACTGGTCTTTTTTATTTCCTGTCTAGTTCTTTTTGTGATTTTCTTGCGATGTTCTATTTCTAACTGATACAAGGTTAGTTTTCATTTCACACTATTTCATGGTTTATCAGTTAACTTCGAAAGTAGCTTTAAGAATAATTGTTCTAACTGGTTCCTATCAAAGTATACACATATACTGACTGATTCACTTGTAGAAGTTGTAAATCTAGCATTCTATGACCTGGTTTGCGTTATAAATTCACACTGTATTTTAAAGTCCTTACTTCATACCATTTTGAATTTTAGTATCAGATAAAATTATGTTCAAAAGAACGCTGAATCGTCATTTTAAACGCACACAATTTATCAACTATTTCCTTACTCTTGGTTTTAGTGTAGTCTCGTCAATCCATGCAACTATTGTTAGCATTCTTTGTGTTACGGCGCTAGCTACTAATGTTGATCTGTGGAACAACCCCGTTACGTAAGTAGTTTCTGATGTTTCAACTTGGTTTAATTGTTCGTTTATCCTTTGGATCTTGTAATTATCATTCATTAAAATTTCGAATTTCGTTTAAAAAGTGAATCAAATGAATACGACTTACACTTTTGCTTTTTTTACTTAACATTATCTCACAGTGCAAAGTTTTCTCAGTCCTCTCGCATGGACATTTCAATTGATAAGTTTTTTAACCGGTTATGGTCCTTACTGTGTAACGAGAAGACCATTTTTGATACAAAAGACATTTAATTAACTGAAATAACATCGTATAAATGTCACTTACCGTGTTTGAAAACATCTGTTGTGTAATCTAAAGCTGTCCTGTCACCAGTGAGCATTTCGAGAGCGAGACTTACCATGGAAATGAATTTCTTAATGTTGTTCTACGACCTTGTGGCTCGAAAAACACCCCCCTAAGAAAGCTGCCTGCTCGGGTTTGGGCGCCCGCGCATTGTCCCAGCCCACTCACACACTCGACAACTTGTGTGCTGTATGAATATTCAGGCACCACTTTGTCCCATTGTTTATGTCTTGAAATAAATAAGTAGATGAAATGTTCTAACCACAAATCCTCTAGTTTAATAACTTATCATCTTCGCTAATTGCCCTATGTCCAGCCTCAACATTGCTTACTTTGTCATTCTGCAAGATGCGAGCAGTGCTTCCGAGATACGTGATCAACCTGTGCACAAACCATGAAGTAGAATTGCTGCATAGTATATACGCTTTGTGTTAAAGATACATTTCACCTACTCCTACTTCAGACCGAATCACTTAGTTATCTGTTTTAGTATCCACTGTATAAGATCTATTTCTTTGGTTTCCATCATAATATCAGCTTGCTTTCCTGGTATGGATTGGTAAACTTTACCGATGCGTATGTACTCTAGGTATTTCGTAACTGTATACTATTGAACGTGATAAGGAGTTAGCTATTGTATTTGCTGAAGTTGTTCTTTCTAGTGATTTACATATCGTAAAACTGACTAGAATAAAACAGTAATAGTGATTACTTGTTGCTGTTTGAAATTTTTTTTTAATGTTGTACTTCCTTCATATTCCCTTCAAAAGATGTGTAACTCATGCTGGTCTTACGGCATTATCAATTTCCATCGGTTACTTTTTATGTGGTAAGTATAGACTTTTGCTTTAGAAATATTTTCTAATTATAGTTAATTTTTCGCCTTCGAGATCGGATATATAAGTTTAATGTATGTGGTGATAACCTTATCCCTACACCTTATAGTCGACTTAAATACTCATCGTTGGCTGTTGATATGAAGTTCAGATTATTAACTCAGACTTATGCAGGATGTTCCACATGCATATAACTTTGGTCACTCATACATGTATAGTATGCCAATTTTCTCGTCAAACTTTCCTAAAGGACTGTATGCATTTCGAGTATACTATGAAACTGATATTTTTAATCTCGGACAAGGATTTATGCAACGTAAAATTCATTGCAATCGTGAGGGTATTGTCGTAGAAATTACACTAATTAGATCAATGGGTTTATCACTGTTCATCATTTGTATAACTTATACATGTGCGTAGTGCAATGGGACCTAAAGAAGTACTCCACTCAAAACCAAATTATACTATTGCGAACAAATGAGTCGTTTTGGAGCCCCTCATTAGTTGGCCTGCTGAGGCTTCCGATATTTCCACAGCAAAATAGACCTCGAAATAAACAAAAGAAAAACACGAATCGAGAGTTAAAACTAATTAAAAATTATATTGTTTGAAATATGTACCATTCTAAATATGATTCATCTGTCTCATTGTTATTAATTCAAAGTTAGATGATTTATTCACTAGCACCATAACTTTATCTGTCCAACCTTAACTTTCTTCTAATCTAACCGTAACCCAGTTAATTTAAAAATATTGTTTACTGCGATTTGTATAATATATAACACATCTTAAACATTTCAAGCTCACAATTCAAACCGACTTATAATGTTTATCCAGCATTTAATAGCAACATTGCTTATTTACGTATTTACTCACTGATGGGTAACTCATGAAACAGACCCATGATCAAATCATTTCTGTTGAAATACCCTCCATTTTTATCGAAAATACGGTGACCACTCATTTTTTTTTATCAAATAGGATATTTTTAGGAATTATCGCTACCGTAATTTTTACGGCAGCAAGAAGCACTAGGAGAATTCACATCGTCGAATTATGTATGCCCTTGTTTTTCTTAGTATTATGGATGTTTTCATATAATCGACACCCTAGCATGTTTTAACCATTGGTGTTCACCGTTATACAATTCCAATTCTTATATGATTGATTTCTTCCATTAATTTCATGTACTTCAAAAATATTGTCCTGTCAACCAGTTGGGTTTACAAAACAACCTAAACATTCCCAATTCTTTGCTGTATAAGCAGAGTATAGTATCTTTTCAGATATCGTTTGCTCTTAATTATGATTTTCATTTTTGTGATCAGCAGAGGAAAACATTCAGTAGCTGTATGAACAAAGTTAAGTCAACAAAAACCAGTTTCACATGCTATATATTTGTGATTCAAAATCAATCCACTAGAGTCCGAACATATTACACTCATTTTCAGTGGGCCAATAGATGACACTTAAATACATCCACCCGTTAATTATGTTCCATAACCTGTATCATCGTACTCTTTATAGCTATGTGTTTACAAATTCTCTAACTACCTGTTTTTTAGATGCTGTTTCCATGCCATTCTATTGGCAAAATAAACAGTTAATCATATTTCTCCTGCATCATTCGGCCGCAAGTTTTGCATTTTACTACGTTGTGGTAAGTCAATATTATCGATGTCGTTAGTCTTATTATTAATTAAATACAGTTTTTCAGTCTCGTAGTTAGTCATTTTCTTCTTAAAAGGTAAACCATTCGCTAAAAATTGATGAATATGTGTAAACCCTTGATTAGACTTGTTAGAATTCGAATAGCACAAAGTAAAGCATTATAAGGTTTTCATAACAAGTTTTGATTGTTTAAGAGTTTCATATTCGGACTAAGTAAATGATTTGGTAGTCTTCACAATCAGTAAAATCTTTATATTATTAAAATTTTACACTAACCGTAGGTATAAAATACATGATTTCATTTCTTAGCGGTTGAAGGCAGTTGATGCTATCCTGTGACGTAGAAACCCCTTAATACATGATAAGTTCCAAACGTCAGCTGAGGGCTTTGCGAAAATAAACGGTGGCGTTTCAGCCGTTTGAGTTTTGTCGTTTCATTTGATGAGGCTTGTAGGCCTTATCTCAGCAAAACCCTCCTGGGCACATGGGCCCGTCGCGCTGACATGCTTTGCTGAGGAAGTCCTGATAACCGCCTGGGTCTTGGTGAACGGGCGTCGCACCAGAGGCATATAGACAGGTATATTCGCCACGTTGGAAGGCTAAATAGTCACTGCTTCTCTCATATTTGTTACTTCTGTCTGTGTCTTACGCGTTACATGCATACCACCAATACACAGGCTTCCGTTGTTGCCTTTTGTAGCGTAATCATAGGCATAAACACTTATAAAATATAGCTCTAGTAGTTTATGATGAGCTCGGTGCGTACGTTTTTCATATACGCAAACACACAAACCATAATAGTCGGCTCTTGGGATTAATATTTATATGTCTACACAAAGAGCAGTCTTTTACAATTCTAGTGCCTCAAAATAAGACCGCGTAATCAGTTCAACTGTCTAATAGGGGCGGATCAAATTGACCTACACTGAACACCTAAGTTAGCTCGTAAGGTTGCCCCCACTCCCCAGTAGCAACACATAATGCTTCTAGGTCAAGATTTGCTGCTGACAGTACAGCACAGCACTATCGCCGATTTAATTAGCTTTCGAGCCATAATTCAGTTTTAATTATCAATAAGTTCTATCATGCGTTGATGCTACGTTCGGTTTTTTCTCATCCATTTCAACGATAGCGAGTAAATTTGTCGTTAATTGATCAGACAAAATATTATTCTCCTTTATTTTAGCGTTATCGAAGTTGCGTATTTTTCGGTGTTTATCGACTTACAACGGAGCTGTCTACACCTTTCGTCAATCAAAGGTATATACTTTTTTGATTTCACTCTGACTTTTAATTTTGAAAATAAGTTATTTTGTAGAATCCATAATCCAAAATAGGAATGACCACAGGGTGGTCAAGATTCAACTCTGAATATTATCAACCAACCTTACGAACCAGAGTTACACTTAGTGAATTCAACTTACTATTGATCTACTCAGCTTTTTAAATGAAATAATTTTAGTCTTATCCAAAAAAGTGGATTTTAAATATTTTGTTTTATAATATAAAATCCTGGCCTTTATTATCACTGAAAGTTCGAAAATTATTTCCAATGAACAAAGTGAACCAAAATGATTTATAGTTGTAGTATTTTTATGCGAGATAAAAAAATTTCAGATTCATTTCTTTCAAATATCAGTGATTTATTTATAATACGTATGAGGGATGAATATTATGTTGTTGTGTAATTATATAACAACCTATCTATTTAGATTTGGTGCACACCTATGAGCTGTTAATTAAATTCGAGTGCTACGACATCGGTGGTCTGAGTAATTAGTCGAAATTCTAGGTGGTCATTTATTGTATCAATTGTTCTGTGTAGTTTTTTCAGTAGTTCATAACAATAACGATTAACTATAAGATTTAATCGTATTCCTAAATTATCTTTTAGGTGGTTCTATCGTACTATTGGCTACAAACCTGACCGCCGACGAGTCGCATGCGTAACGTTGATATTTGCAATATTTTTTATCATAACACGTAACTTAATGATTTTACCATTTTGGTTAATATCTTATGTATCTTACCGATCTGATCCTTACCAAATCTGTGTTAAATCTGTCCCACTTATTGGTCCTATTTTTCTCACGAGTTGCGGATTACTTGATTGTTTAAATATCTATTGGGCCTTTCGTACCTGTCGTCTTGGCTATAAAGCTGCTAAACTATTATGGACTGCAGATTGGCAAAGTGATATCCATAAAGCTCGAGCACATTTACACAAACGTTTACGTAATCTGAAACAACGTGTTGTTTTCAATGCCAAAACTGATCCAAGTTTAAAACCAGGATTAACAGGAAACCATGACAGTAATACGTCGTTAAATGAACAAATTGGCAGTGAAGTCTCCTCAATAAATGATTCTAGTTCCGACAGTGAACTGGAGTCGATCTATTCAGATTTAGATTCTCAAGTATCTGCTGAAAACGATAAAGATGCTAATAAGTCCAATACTATTCATTCAAATTTATCTGGAGATGATGAGGTTAAATTAGTTCATCGATTGTAAAAATGTAATAAGTCCAAGATTCTTTTTCACGTGAATATGTATGAATAAATTTTCCATTTTAATGACTAAACTCAAAATTCATCCAGTTACTACTACTGCATAATATAAAAATTCTTCATTATTTTTTTTGTATAGTTCATATAGCATCTTCTTTTGTAGTACAAAACATATTGTCATTTTTCTTCTTACTATTTATTTTCACAATTTCAATGTTTTATGTAATTTATTTTAAAGAGACATTAAGTAAAATATGTGTCCATTTATGTTGATGTTTGTTAATTTATTATCATGACTTCAATGGATATAAATTGCTTTCTTAGCTTTTGTTTACTTTCCCCTATGGGTACCAAAACACGAATGTTTGAGATTCTTTTCTCCCCTCTTAAATCTAGAACTTATATTCAAATATTACTCTAAGTAATCGCTTAGTTTAAAATTAGCCAGTCAAGGATTTGAGCACGTCAACCACTTCACTTTTCTTGACAGTCTTATTAGTTTTGGGTGGTCGGTAGCTGACAAAAGGTTGATCTAACTTTAGGATATTCGTGTCGCCTGTTGAGCAGGTACTATGTTCATTTGTTTATCAAACGTCTAGCATTCAGCTTAGTAATTCTTTATGTAACTGTATAGAGTGCAAAGCAACTTATGAAACAAGAAATACGCAATCTGTTGGCATTTGACCATAGAAGCTATTAAATTGATTTTTTCGTATATGGCTGAGCTACCTCGTAAGTAATGGCAAGTTTACTCAATAGAAATGCTAAACCACATGATAAGGTTGTAAATCTTTATCGATAGTTGTACTTGGGATATGTTAAATATCTTTAGCCGTGCGTTATTCCTATATGTAGCATAAATTGAAAGGTTGGCCTGATTATACGTAATTAGAGCATTAATATATAGATCTACTGACATTTGAACTACTCTGTCGATTAATTCAAACTTCCTCGTTCAGTTTCACAAAATAATCTTGAACCGTAGTTTGAAATAGTAAATACGAATGCTGTGGATCGTTTGTATTCATCTTCTATTTATCTTGAGTTTGATTGTTAGTTCTTACTTTCTGGCTTTATTCGTTCATTTCGAAATATGTTCCTGACGTCACAAGTCAAATAAAAGTCATTGTTATTAGGTGGGCTCTTGTATTTTTAAAGGGTCATGAATTGTACACCTCTATAATTTTTATGAATTTGCGGTGCTTGGCCACTGATTAATAAACTTCTATTTATAAGTAAAGCAATATGTACGCTATGGTATGATTGTAGTTGATAAGTAGGTAATTAAGAAGTACTATTCCTATTCACGTAAACACTGGACCCAATTTTCCGGGCTTTTTAGTATCCTTAAGGGGTTCACCTTTAATACGAGAATTTATAGTACTACTGAATATATATGAAAGAGGTTGTCATTTCCTTTCTGTTCCAATCGTGTTGAGAAACTTCGAAAGAAAACCCTTTTGCTAACGACTGTAGTGATCTGGGAATGTGACCGCAGTTGCACTCATTCTTCTTATTTGCTTAGAATAAACTAAAATTGTTTTGATGATTTCAATCACTTTCTTTAGTTGTGTGTTAGATGCCTAGTCTTTTCTAATACCGTTTTACATTGCATTTGATTGATTACACTGGTTCACTAGTTTTCAAGAGTTTGACTTAAATACAATTCTAGTTTCAATAAGGTTGAATAACTTGGATGGAATCATTTAACATTTGAAATTTCGGTTGATTTTGTTGCGATCTCTTCTATCATTCTACATATTCATATGTTTACCAGACAACTGTAAATACGAATATAAAATTTCCTTTACTGACTTTTCTTCATTTTTGTTCAGCGATATATAGTGGGTTACTTTCCCTTATTTTTGGTTACTGTAAATTTATAAATGGAGCCAATGTGCAGGTATTATACCTGAGATTGCACAAAATTTATTCTTTCTTTTCAGGAATATTGTTTTTATTTTGTTTACTCCGAATCTTTTTGTTCTTATTCCATTCACTATCAAGAGTTATTTTCATTATTTGCATACTTTATGACAACTCGTTAAGTGTATGGTAAGTATCAGGTTCCCTGATCTTTTTTCTTACTTATTGCGCAATTTACCACATTAAAAACTTGTTTGATACACTTTCATTTAGTAGTCGCGTTTTACGATCATCATAACTCCAAATTTTTGTTATTGCCCGAATTTTTTTATCTTTTCGTGTACTTAACGGTGATCATTTTGTCGGAAAAGTGTTTTTTTTAACTCCATTTGTGCATATTTATTTACTTTTATTATCATTTTATTGACTTCAAATTTTTTAATTTATGATTGTGGTATATTATCTGATTAAAGTTGTACTTTCTTTTCTTTTATCTCGTTTAATTGACTACTCACTCTGTTCTGCCATCCTTTATTTGTTGGCTTCTATTGTGACTTATTTCGAGTATTCACTTACAGTGCTTATGATGGCCTGCTCTATTTGATTCAGATGGAAATCAGATTTTAATGTACTCTTCTAGGTTCACTGGTAGCTTCTTTGCTTTCACTTCCTTTCTCTTTTGAGTTTTCTTGTTTCTTCATTTAGCCATAATACTCGCTTTTGCTATAACTATCACAAGGTAGCGATCAGTATTTGCATGAGCAGATCTACTTGTGTTCATGTTACATATTAGGAAGTCCTCTCTTCTTTCAGTTATAATAATGCCTATGATTCTTTCTTCACTCTTTTATTTATGTAAGTGTTCATTATTCCTAGGTTTCTAATCTAATGCTGTCCTTTATTCTGAGGGCAAATGTTTTTAGACCATATGTTAAGATGGGTATTATAGATGTTTCCATCAACTTAATTTTCGTTCTTGTACTTGTCTTATTAGCCCTCAGCATTAGGCACAATCTAATCAGAGCATGTTCCACTTTTGTAAAAGTAGCTTTAATAGGTTGTCCTTCTTTACTGATAATGGGTCCTAGGTAATTAAACTAGTTCACTACTTCTACTTCTTGACTTAACTGTTATGAAACCATCATTATCTTTATCATTTATAGTCATAATCTTAGTTTTGTCATACGAAAATCCCATGACGATTTCCCCAAATTATACTTGGAGTTTGTTCACCATTATCAATGCTTCTGGTTTTGATGTTGTAATTAAACGTACATCATTTGCATATTCAAGATAGGAAATCTTCCAGTTCTTTTTGTTGTCTGTTAACAAGATTACAGAGGTCGCTTGTGCGATAAAGGAATTAAAGATCTCTTGGAAAAGAAGATTAAGGAAGAGTGATCCTTCTTTACTACTCTGCTTGACTGCTCAGTTTATCGTGAAGCTGGTCTCTATATATTCCTTTAATGTATCCTTTCGGATTATCCAGGGATTTCGTTATGCATCGCTTTCCGTTTTTAGATGAACACATCTTGTCAACTTTATTCACAACTAATTCCTTCGGAGCTGAATCAAAAGCTTTTGCAGATCCACAAAATTAGAGTTTTTTCATGTTATTGTTCATCACGCATTGGACAAGGTGTCGTATTGCATTACTGCTTGTAACGTTAACAATCTATGTTGGAAACGACGTTGCGTCAGTTCTGGCGAACTTTTGCGGAGTTGGTTTGTAACCGCCTCATAACCAAAGGTTTTATGGATTCTATCCAATAAAAATACTACGATTGTGGTTAAGGTCCTGTTTGGAGCCCTTGTTTTGTATGTACTTCATAAGTCAGCGTTTATTCATTATATGGGCACTGAATCCTGGTCCATACAGACATCGTTCAAGATGTACAAAAGTTTTACTGTCGATTTGTTTCTTTCCCATATAATCATTCCCGCATTTATACCGTGTTCCCCGAAGCTCTATTATTATTGATTTCACGAATAGTTGTTTCCGGCTCCCCTTGGGCGAATGGAATATAGAGACTTTTTATCTGTGATGTGTTTAATATGGCACCGCGTTTGTTTATTATCAAATTAATATTTGTATTTTACTTCAACCATCCTGATATTTGTCTAATTACGGCTTTTATTGTTTTTTCGTTGATCATTAATGTGATTCCTATGTTTTTGTAGCCGTTTTTGTGCGATTTACTGTTTTGATATACAACTTCCGACATTATCAGTAGTGATCTTGTTTTCGTCAGCAATGCCACATGCTATTTACGCTCTATAATTAGATCTACTTTTCTATCCGCCTTGTATTATTTGGGGCAACCCTGAACAATCCACAAGCCAAGCCTTAGTTTTCTGGAATTTCCTGCGTTTTCCTCCTTTTTTAGAACCGATGGGGCCTATTTAAGTCAGTTGGTAAGTTGAGATATGTGTACGTATGCCTAACCACCGACTGCCTCCACGAGTTACGCTTTGTGGTGTAGGGGTAGGCTGGAAGAAAGCTAGTGGCGACTAGACTAAAACATGGCAAAAATACATGAAGTCACTGACAGGTGGACTGAGCAATGTTGGTAGGAAAAGCCTATCTGGTTGGGGGCCGCGAGATAGTAATCGATGGTTAGAGACCTTAAACGACGTGGCTTAAAATTGTTTGCAATGGCATAGGTGCATTCACTCTTTGTGTTATATGAAATTCTAATCTTCTGAATTCCTCATCACCTTTATCTTTCGCTAAATTTATTTCACTGAGTTTACTTCTTGAATAATATCTTCAAACCCTAATCTTCTCGGTTACTTCTAATACTTCTACTCTCTCTACTACTATGGGATTTGAACTGACAAATGCGACTCTGTGCAAACCTGAACTGATGTACTTACGTACGAAGTTCTACATTGTAACTGACTGACTAGTAAGGATTGCTTCTTCAACTCTCTGTCTGGTATACTAGATTTACCAGCAGTAATTATTTGTCGTGTTTGAGTTTTTCGTAATCAGTAACTTTTTGAATAGGTATTCAGTCTGATTTACTCTTAGCCACTCACGTTAGTTCATAGCACCAAGCCCCTTTATCCCTGGAACACTTCAGATTTTGAGTCGCACCCTGTATCATTCTTCAACACTCACAAAGTTTGTAATGAAGTAGGGAATAACAAGTCCAAGAGCGAACTGCATATGTTCACAAGTGTCCCGGTTACTGCCTAGAGTGGGGAAAGTTTGCTCCCCCTCCCAAAACACTCACATGGCCACTCGTGCGGAGCAGCTTAAAGAGACTTCCTACTCATTTCTCGAAATTTAGAGAACAAAGTGCGAATGTTCAGTACTTTTACCGGGTTGATGGGTACGTAACATACACCTTGACAAGTTAAAAAACCGCGATTTCAAACCAATAGTGCACATGGGCTTCAGGGTCCTGATGGCGCAATCTGAGTATGGACCTATTGTTAGTCATCAACTACCATAGGAGTATGTCTTTTAACCTATCTCCGCTACCTTGTGGACTTGGTCTGTTGTTCAGAGGCTCAGGGGTGGCCCCCTAAGAAAACCACCTGCTCGGGTGCCCAAACCCAAGCTGTATCTCCGTTAGTCCACAGAAAAATTTAACAAACTCTGTGGTGCATAAATATTTAAGTGCCACTTTGTATCAATGTTTATATCTTTAACTATAAATATTTACATCAAAACTAAAATATTCGCCACTTATTATCTTTGCGTACTATTTTCTGAATATAGATATCATATGTCCATGCATTTTTGGATATCAAACTTTATATGTGTCAGTATGACTAGGGCAAACAAGGGTATGATCAGAGTACAGATAAGTACTCCAAGAGCAGCGGCACTTTTACTCAACCACGCCAGAATTGCATCGGGATGTAACCACTCTGATTCTAGGAGATCAATCTGACAAACTGAGGTAATAGGCGCGTTACAAATTCACCTGCTTCTGTTGAGGCACCCGGGCAGTATCCCAGCCCAAACACGGTTTCAGTGATTTTTTAGTGTAAAAATATTTATTTTCCCCTTTGTACCGATAATTATATATCCCAATAAAATAAACAATAACCAGTCGAACCTCCTTAAAAAGATTTTTTAAAAAGAAATGATAAACCAATCATAATACCGAAATTATGGGTGAATATAGTAGTCAAATAATAAAAGCTTATTTCCGAGCCAGTCATACCATCAGATCAATATTTGTGGAGAGGAACGTTAGAACAATAAAAGTGGAACAGCAAGACTATAAAATTGAGTATCATGCATGTAATGTGTCTTATGGGATAGAAAGAGTCGGACAGCATAATGTCAAGCTGAAGGATCAAGCAAAATTTAGAATATGATACTAAACCCTCAGTTTTACTCAGGATTCTTGAAAATCGATCAACAACATCGATATAGATATTAGAAGTCTTATGTAAGATGAATAAGAGCTAAACTATTTCAACAACATTTTGGTACTCATAAAAAAAAAGAATAATGACTGAAGTTTAATCTCTGTTTAAACCAAAATAACGTAGTCATTATAGGGTTATGAAGATTGTTAACTTTCATTGAAATCATGAGTTTATCAGTGAATTTAAACAGTAACACCGTTGGATGCCAGCACAATATTTAGGAGGTTAAGCGTTTACGCGCTAGAATGAAGGTTCCGGGTTCGATTCTCTGCTTGCAAGATCGCGGACGTGCATTGCAGGTGAGTTCGTACTTGTACAAAACAGCGATCTAGGTTACCATTG